TTGTGGTGTGTGTTTGTGAGAAATTCATCAGAAGTTGTCTTGATCACTCCCGGATATATTCTCCTCCAAGTTAAATATTTGATATCCTAACAAGTCTATTTGTGGAGCACTTGGGAACTTTGTTTCCAACTTTTGGTTAGCAGAGAATTGCTGTAATACATATTTTTGTATATATAGAGGCTTTCTCCTCAGTTTTTGGTCTCCTTGGTATATGTGTCTAATTTTTAATATCCCTGGATCAAAGAGTTCAGTGACTTTTCTAGTAGAATTCCAAATTGTTTTCCACAGTGAATGGACAAATTGAGTTCTGTCTTCCCACAGCCCCTCCAACATTTATCATTGCTTTCTGTCATCTTTACCAGTATGAGGGAGGTAAGGTAAAACCTCAGAGCTGTTTTAACTTGCATTTCTCTTGTTATTAGTTATTTCAAACGTTCTTTCATATGGTTGTTGATAGTCTTTTAAAAACTGTCTGGTACCACATCATACCTATCAGATTGGCCAACATGACAAAACAGGAAAATGATAAATGTTGGAGAAGATGTGGGAAAATTGGAACACTAATGCATTGTTGGTAGAGTTGTGAAATGATCCAACCATTTTGGAGAGCAATTTGGAACTATGCCCAAAGGGCTATAAAAATGTGTATACCCTTTGACCCAGCAATAGCATTTCTAGGGCTATATTCCAGAGAGATCATACAAATGGGAAAAGGACCCGCATGTACAAAAATATTTATAGCAGCTCTTTTTGTGGTGGCAAAGAATTGGAAATTGAGAGGATGCCCATCAATTGGGGAATGGCTGAACAAGTTGTGGTATGTGATGTAATGGAATACTATTGTGCTATAAGAAATGATAAACAGGCTGACTTCAGAAAAACTTGAAAAGACTTGTATGGTCTGATGCTGAGTGAAGTGAGCAGAACCAGGAGAACATTGTACACAGTAACAGCCACGTGCGATGACTAATATTGATATACTTAACCCCTCTCAGCAATACAAGGATCTAAGACATCTCCAAAGGCCTCATGATGGAAAAGGCTATCCACATCCAAAGAAAGAACTAGGAAGTTTGAATGCAGATTGAAGCATACTATTTGCTATTTTTTTTCTTCTGTTGTGTTTTGTTTTCTCTTTCTAGTGGTTCCTCCTCTTGGTTCTAATTCTTACTTACGACATCACTAATGTGAAAATATGTTTAATAGTAATGTATGTGTATAGCCTTTATCAGATTGTGTGCCATCTTGGGGAGGGAGGTGGGGAAGAAGGGGGAGAAAATTTTAAAACTCAGAAGACTGTGGAAGTGATTGCTGATAATTCAAAATAAATAAATTTTAAAAAAAAACCTGCCTGGATCTTGGTCTTATCTATTTTTACCAATTCCTTATGTATCCTGTACAAAGATTTTCCCCAACTAATGGTTTCTTTTCTTATTCTAGCTACATTAATTTTGTTTGCACAAAAGCTTCTAAATTTTATTTAATCATGATTTTATATTTTATCTTTTTTGACCACCTCTATCCCTTGTTTGGTTAAAAATTCTCTCCTAGCAAGAGAAATCATAAGAGACTTATTAAGGTTGAACTGTTTACACTCCTGCAGGGAAAGATGATATTTGTAACTCATGAGACAATATTAGGGTAGTTGGAGGGCAAAAATTATATGTAGATAGATAGATAGATAGATAGATAGATAGATAGATAGAGGGCACAGGGTGAGTTGAAGATGAAGGGGTGATATCTGGAAAATAAAATTAAGGGGTGAGAGGATTATACTGGGAGAAGGAGAAAGGGAGCAGTAGAATGGGGTAAATTATCTCCATGAAACGGACAAGAAAAGGCTTTTACAGTGGAGGGGAAATGGGAGAAGGGAGAGGGAATGAGTGAATCCTATTCTCATAGGATTTGGCTTAAGGAGGAAATAACATGCACAATGGGGTTATGGAAATCTATCTTACCCTACAGGTAATAAGGAAGAGAGCAGGGGGTTGATAGAGGGGAGGGCAGAATAGGAGAGGGGATAATCAAAAACAAACACTTCTGAGGAGGGACAGGGTCAAAAGAGAGAATAGAATAAATGGGGAGTAGGATAGGTTGAAGGGAAATATACTTAGTTTTTCACAACAGGACTACTAGGGAAGTGTTTTGCATGACTACACATCTATAACCTGTATCAAGATGCTTGCCTTTTCAATGTGGGTGGGTGAGGAGGGAAGAAGGGAGAAAATTTGTAACCCAAAGTTTTAAAAACATGTGTTAAAAATAAAAAAAAAAATTTTAATTAAAAAAAAATTCTCTCCTAGCAATAGCTGTGCAAGGTAACTCTCCTCTAATTTTTTTTTTAATATGGAGTTGAGGTATATGTTGTAAGATTTGGTCTAAATCTAATTTCTGCCAAACTTTTCCAGTTTTTTCATAAGTTCTTGTCAAATACAGAATTCTTATCTTAGTAGTTTGTGTTTTCAAGTTTAGGTTTACCTAAACTCTAAACTACTATAGTAGATTGCTTTTGGGTATGCTTAGCTAATGTGATCTGCTTTTCTATTTTTTAACCAGTGCCAAGTAGTTTTTTTTTTAAATGAGATTATATTTAAATTTTCCTCAATTACATGTAAAAACTTAACATTCATTTTTTAAAATTTTGAGCTCCAAATTTTCCCTCCCCCCCTTCCATTGAGAAGTCCCATAATTTTATATAGGTTATACATGTACAGTCATGCAAAACATATTTCTATATCAGCTATGTTACAAAAGAAAACACAAACCAAAAAGACTCTATCAGCTCTTTCTTTGAAGATGGATAGCATTTTTAAATCCTTCAGAACTGTCTTGGACTATTGTATTGCTGAGAACAGCTAAATCATTCACAGTTGATCATCATACATTATTGTCTCTTCTCCTGGGTCTGCTCTCTTTACTTTGCATCAGTTGATGTACGTCTTTTCAGGTTTTTCTGAAAGCATCCTGCTTGTCATTTCTTAACACAATAGTATTCCATCATGATCATATACCACAACTTGTTCAGCCATTCCCCAACTAATAGGCATCCCCTAAATTCTTTGCCACGACAAAAAGAGATGCTATAAATATTTTTGTACATATAGGTCTTTTTTCTTTTTCTTTTAAATCTTTGGGATACAAGACCTAGTAGTGGTATTGCTGGGTCAAAAGGTATGCACAGTTTGATAGCATAGTTCCAAATTGCTCTCCAGAATGGTTGGATCAATTTATAACTGCACCAACAGTACATTCATTAATGTCCCAATTTTCCTACATCCCTTCCAACATCTATCATTTTCCTTTTCTGTTATATTAGCCAATCTGATAGGTGTGAGATGGTATCTCAGAGTTGTTTTAATATGTACTTTTCTAATAAATATTTAGAATATGTTTTCAGATAACTATAGGAAGCTTTAATTTCTTCTTTTAATAATTGCCTGCTCTTACCCTTTGACTTTATCAATTGGGGAATGACTTGTATTCTTATAAATTTGACTCAGTTCTCTACATATTTGAGAAATGAAGCCTTTATCAGAGAAACTTGCTGTAATTTTTTCCCCCAGTTTCCTGCCTTCCTTCTAATTCAATGCCAAATCGTTTTAGTGATTGAGCAGTATGGCAGTTTGTGTTCTGATCATCAATTATTTAACTCTTCATTCAGGACAACAATCCTAGAACTTATCTTACTGAAACAGGATTGTTGTTGATTTTGTGTGTGTGTGTGTGTGTGTGTGTGTGTGTGTGTGTGTATGTGTGTGTGTGAGTGTTTAGGTGCGGTAGGGAGAAGACTGGGAAACAAGGGTGGCATGAAATTATAAAGAGACTTTAAAACAAAAGAATAGTTTCCACCTGGTAAACAGAAAAACAATGTTTTAGAAAGACTGATGTCCCAGAAATTAGAAGAAAGAGAGACTGGAAGGAAGACAATTATATCAGCAAACTTGGCGTGAGTAGAAGAGGGTGTGGACTCAAGAGCTAGCTGTGGGGAATAGAAAAGTTCAAATATAAATGATATCATAAAGGATTACCAAAATTTGATGAACTGGGAAAAAAAAAAAGATGACCATGTGTCCCAGATTTCCCCCAAACAGATCAATTTTGAAAAATAAATTATACTTTTAACAAGACTTGAAAAAGGAATGTTCTTGTCAGATTGTGTATACTGATTTTTGGTTGAGATAGATATCATAATAGATATATAGCTTTCCCTCCTGTCTTTACCCAACTTCTTCCCTCCCTTTTTCTCAATCTCCTCCCAACCCCCCATTGCTTCTTTTTGTATCCCTAGTTCTTGGCTTATAGTAGCTGCTAAATAAATGTTTATTCCTTTCCTTAACATCTCTGGCCCTTGGGACTTTAGTAATGCCCTCGATGGCCTCTGGGGTCTCTTCCCCCTCTAGATCTGTGATTCTATAGAATCCTTTCTCCCTCTCCTCTGTTCCCCCTCACTTCTCCTTCTCCCTCTCTCCTTTTGTCTCCCTTTATCTCTCCCTATCTTCTCTAACCATCTCTCCCTCGTGTCTCTCCTGTCCTTCCCTAGCCTTTGCTTTTTTCCTTCCTCTACTCATCTTTCCTTCCTCTTCATCTCTTTCTAGTCCATCTGTCTTCTCCCTCTGCCCATCATTCCCCGATTTTCTTTCCCTCCCTCTTTATTCTCCCCTTTCCCCCTTTTTTTCCCTTTTCCTCTCTAGAATCCTTCAACCTCCCCATCCCTCGCTTCACTTTGTTTTCCTCTTCTCTCTCTCCCCGCGGTGGTAAAGGATTGAAGGGTTAGAGATTGTGATGGAGGGAGTAAGACCCAGGTTGGAACAGTGTAGATGGGGATGTGTCACTGGGTGCTTGACTCTGAGCCTCGTTCCCTGAGGTTTAGCTGCCAACACTTTTTTGGAGAGAGAACTCTGGGGTTGAGGGTCCCTCATTTGTCCAGCAGAGTCTTCTGGGCTCCGCCCAGCCGGGTCTCAACCTATTAAATAACTGCTTTTCTCCCTCCTTCACCGCAGTGACTCACCTCTCCTGACGCTATGGGCCGCTATCGTGTTGGTGTGGAAACTGGGAGCTCTGTCTTCGCGGGGTCCAACAATCAGGTTCAGCTGTGGCTAGTCGGAGAGCACGGGGAGGAGGCGCTGGAGCTGCGGTTGCGACCCTCTCGGGGAAAGGTCAATGAGATCTGGGGAGACGCGAGCAGTCTTGGGACGCAGGAGTGTGGGAGGAGGTGGTTTCCAAATCAGATTACAAATACCGGGAATGCCTGAATCCCAGAAGGACAAGAATTTGGAACCCAGAGCCTCTAGGGTCTTGGGTTTAGTAGAATTTCTAGGTGTCCTTGGCTCGTCCTGTTCTCTTCTTTTCAAATATTACCCTCTGAGAAACGGTTTCCCTTTCTCTCCCAAACCAAACTATCTACACAGCGTCGAAACACTGTATCACCCTTTCGCTCCCTTCTCCAGCCACACGTCTTTCCCTGACAGTAGAGGGGCAGCCAATTGCCCCTGCACCCTGATGTTCAAGGATCCCGCCTCTCTTATTCACCACTCCTATTGCTACATAATTTTCTCATTCTGTCATTCCTGTCTCCATCTTCTCTACTCATATAATTTCTATCCTGGTCTTTACATATCTATCTACATCTTCCATCATCTCTACCTCTCCACCTTTCTCTCCATCATAACCCTCCCTTCCTCTTTTCATCTCTACCTACCTCTTCCCCATTTGAGGCTTAACTGGGCTCTGTCCTCCCTCCTGGGGCGGATGCGGAGGAGTGTTGGGTGTTAACTCTGGATGCTGCGCTCTGCCACCCTTCCCGTCTTCCAGAGATTTCACTAGTTAGCAGCTGAATCAGGGAGCGCCTGGGGTGACCCCAGACTTGTGGTATGATGGCATTTGAAATTCGGAGTAGGGTAGTACGGAGCAGGGAAGAGGAAGCCTGAGAGATGAGAGAGATCTGTTATACTGCACTTATTCAGTGACTAGGAAAGAAGGGATCGAGGAGAGATGTTAGGTTTTCTCCCATTCCCTGGACCCCTCCTGGGACCCAAGCTTTCTCCTTTTGATTCACCTACACATATAAACGCGCCCGCCGCGCGTTGATTTGGGGTACCGCTTTTCCCGAGGCCATAGCAGTCCTATTTTGTTTTAAAGTTCCTTCATTGACCCTCGAAGATGCCACCGGAGTCCTTGGCGTCCCGGCTCTTTCCCAGTTTTCTTCGGAGAAAACAGACCAGCTCCCTCCCTATCTTTTTGGTTTTTGTACCCCCAGAGCCTACCACAGCTTACTACATGCTTCCTGAATTGAATTTCTCCTCCTTCCCTCTCAAATCTCACCCAAAACCCACCCACCCAATCCCCTCATTACTTCGCTAGAAACAGAGAGACAAGAGTAACCGGTGGGGGGCATGAGACTCCTTCCCTGGGACGCAACTTCGGTCTGTCGAGCTTCGTTCTGACCCTTCCCTGCCTTCCCCACCTCAGGTAGAGGAATTTAATGTAGAAGTCTCGAAGATCCTGGGTCCCCTCCTGTTCGTGAAGGTGCGCAAACGTCGCCTCCTCACGTAAGACAACTGGTTTTGCAACCGAATCACCGTGCAAGGTCCCGGGGATAACGGAGTGGAGGCCACGTTCCCATGCTACCGCTGGGTGCTGGGTGAAGGCATCGTCTGCCTCCCCGAAGGCACTGGTGAGGGAGCGGCGGGATGGACACCGACCAGCCGACCTCTCCAGCCTGCTTCTGCTTTCCGCCTTACTCCCTTTCACGTACATTATATCAAGTCCCCCAATCTAGGCCTGCCTTTCCTGCTCGCAGGCGTTAATGCAAAACTGCCCCCAACACCGGCTCTTATCTTTTGCCTGTGGAAATTCTTTTCCAAGACGTGGCTCAGACCCTTCTCTACCGATTAAAGCAACTAGTGATAAGATGAAAGACACGTATTTTGCCACGTTAGACTCCTATGGAGTTTTCTCTGCATCTTTCCTTTGCTTCTATCACACTCTATATTGTAAAATGTCCCCAAAATTTCTCGAAGCAGGGTCTGAGTCTCTTAATGCTCTTTGTATCCCCGGTGCCGAGCACAGTGTTTCCGCCAGGGATTCTTCAAGACCTACAGAGAGGAGGAGCTAAAAAGAGAAGGAAGCAGTACAGCTGAGAAAGGGCAGCCTCTTCAGCTGCGGTCTTTGGAACTTCATCCTCCCATCAAAGACCTTTTCCCTCCTCTTTTCAATTCTGAGCTCCCTTCTCAAATTCCCCACCCCCCAACCGCGCCCCCAATCCATTTACATTTAGGCTTGATCCTGTCCCCTTAGACAATGAGCTCAGATCCTTCCCTACTCTGACCTCTCACTCCTGACTAATCACTGCTATTCCTAAACAAACCTCAGTCCTAACCCATTAGATCCTAACCACCCAATTAGCCCCTTTTCCAAACCTTAACCCTTAAATCCATATCCCCACATCAACCACCACAGCTGGCACTCCTGGAAGGATAATGTAATCCGGACAGTCTCTGGGGCTACTCTGTCTGATCTTCCTTTGGATCAGAGATTTCATGAAGACAAGAGAATTGACTTTGAGTGCTCCCTGGCCAAGGGGTGAGATTGACCCCATAGGTGTCCAGGTTGGTGATACAAGCCTGGTTGGGAGAAAGCTGGGTTCTAGATACCCTCATTCTCAGGAAGAGGAGGTGCTATCCTTCCTTGACCCTTCCCTCATCCTCTTCTCCCCCTACCACACCCCAGGCTTAAAGACCTTGCCATCAAGGACACCTTAAACATCCTGAGTTCCTGGAAGAGCCTGGAAGATTTCAACCAAATTTTCTGGCCTGGTCAGAGTAGGCTGGCAGGTCAGTGACACCTACCACTTCCTCCTTATGAATTCCACATCATCATCATCGTTTCAATTTGCCAAGCATTTTTAAATGAATTATTTCAATCGATCCTTAAAATAACTTTGCAAAGTGGGCAGGACAGGGCAAGTCTTACTATTTTTATTGTACAGACAATTACTTATCATCTGTAAGTGGTGGCCCAGAGATGTGATATGACAAGCTCACAGTCAAAAAGTGACAGTGACGGGACTCAACTCAAAGCCTCCTGACTCCAAATCCAGTGTTCTTTTTATTATGCCGTCCTGACTGAAAACACTCTTACCCAAAGAACTGACGTTATTTGTACTTAATCTCCAAGGGCTCAGATTTAAACATATATTTGACACAAAGCTCATTCAAACTATTTTGAGTTGACTCTTACACAGAGCTACACAAATCATAAAGGAATTTAAAGCTGATGGACACCTTAGAGCTAATTTAGGGGAACCACCTCTTTTTATAGAGAAGGAAAGAGGGGCCCAAAGAGGGGACCTGACTTACTTGCTCAAGGTCACAACACCAGTAAGTGGCATAGCTAGGATCTTTTGATTACAAATTCATGCTCTCCACCCCCAAAAAAAGGAAGGCTAGAGGCTGAGGTGAAGAGCTGGGTTGTGAGGGGCTCCAAGTCATCTCTCCAACTTAATTCCACAGAGAAGGTTCGGGATTCCTGGAAGGATGATGCATTTTTTGGGTACCAGTTCCTGAATGGTGTTAACCCCATGATCCTGAGACAATCCACCGAACTCCCAATCTGACTGAAGCTGCCTCTCGGCTCAGAGAAACTTCAAGCAGAGCTAGAAAGACATCTCCAAGTACTTACCTTCTTTTATCACACTTTTATTATAGACAGTCTGTAATATTAACTTTCTCTTCTACTGCTATGAAATAAAAAGGAAAAGCCTGTGCTTCTGGGATCCCAGTTAGTAAAACTTTTAAACTCTATGAAGTAGATGAGTTGAAGGTGACAGTGGATGGAGTCTTTCATGTTATCCTTATAGACAAGATAAAAAGAGAGGGAGCTAGAAAATAGTACAGGTCAGGTAGGTGGGTTTGGAAATGCAAGAATAGTTATTCATTGGGTCAGTGTTAACTCTAGGAGTGAAGTTGTCTCTAGTGGGGTGTCCCCAAGGACTGTGTTTGACCCAGTGCTATTCAACAGCTTCATCAGTGACTTAGTTGAAGGCACTGATAGCATGCTTCTCTAATCTGCATGGGATAGTCCATTTCCTGTCTTCATGACTTTGCAGAGATGTCCAATGACTAGGAGGCATACCCTCTTTACTTCTGCCTCTTAAAATCACCATTTTCCTTCAAGGCTTCAAGGTCAAACAAGACCTTCTCCATGAAGCCTTTTCTGATCCCTGCAATTGTTAGTACTCCCCTGCCACCAAATACATGTGTGTGTGTGTGTGTGTGTGTCTGTGAGAAAGAAAGAGAGAGAGAGAGACATATAATAATACTAACACACATATAAAAATGTACTTTTAAATTTATATGTTGTTTCAGTGGCACATAAGTTCCTTGAAGACAGGAATTATTTCAGTATTGTTTTTATATCTTTAGTGCCTAGCAAAGTGCCTGACACATAATAGGTATGCAATACATGCTCAATGACTGGTGACCAAAGCTAGGAGGAATAAATAACATGATCCTGTCATGACAGCAACCAAAAAAAGCTAATTCACTCTTAGGCTGTATCCAGAACATGTAACATAAGGGTTCCGTGTTCAGGCTATTCACCTAAACTATTCTGTTGAATTCTGAGTACTATATTTTAGGGAGGAAACTGCTAAACTGGAAGGGATAGAGTTAGGCAACCAATTTGATGAAGGGTCTGAAGATCACGCCATCTAAGGATTGGACCCCAAACTAGGGATGTTTAGTCTGGGGGAGACAGACATGTTTGGTGTCTTCAGATATATGAATATGGAAATCTGGAAGAGGTATTAGAGTTGTTCCATTCGTCACCAAAGGGCAAAACAAGGAGCAAAGGATGAAGTGGCAGAGAGTTAGATTTAAGCCCAGTGTAAGGGAGAAAAAATCCTACCAAACAGAGATATCCCAATGTGAAATGCGTTACCATTCATGGTGGTTTTTCCTCTAACCTGAAATGAAGGCTATGTAAATGACCACTTTGGGGGAGATTGTAAAGGGTCAGGTATAAGTTTCTGACAGCCTTTTGGGTCCCTTCTGATGCTGAGATCCTATAATTCTGAAAAATAGAGCAGAGGAACCAGAAATGGAGATACATCGAGCCTGTAGAAATGATGGCAGGGAGAACTATGGAGCCTGTGAAAATCTGCATTTGGTGGCCACAGTGGCCATAAAGTCCTTGTAATTGGTCCAGGACCCAGAGGAAGAAAATGAGCCCATTATTTGATGGAGGAGACAAGCTCCCTACTCAGGAGACCAAATGCAGAGGGCAAACTAGGGCCTTGATAATGGAAGGTGGAAGCGGGTTTATGTTTGAAATGAGAAGCTGGGTTCTGAGGAGGAAGAGCTGAGCAGACAGGGCTCCTGTGAAGCCAAAGTAGAAGATTCCAGGGCTCACTCTCAACCACCACCTTGCCCCCCTCCCTTCTCTATCACCAACAGGAAGGCTCACTGTTTGAAGCTGACTTCTCTCTCCTGGATGGGATTCAGGGCAATGTAATCCTCTGCTGCCAGCAGTACTTGGCAGCTCCCCTGGTCATGTTGAAGTTGGAGCCCGATGGGAAACTGCTGCCCATGGCCATCCAAGTAAGAAGGCCCAGACATCCCTTCACAGAGACATCAAGCAACTCTCCCATCCTACCCTTCAGTACCATTTCCAATAAACCTTTACTTGCATAGATCGGTAGAGTGTAGGGAAGGTCTTTTCAACCTCAGATCCGGGATCATAAATTCAGAGCTGGAAAGGTCCTTTTAGATCATCTAATCCAATGCCTTCATTTTGCAGATGAGGAAACTGAGTGACACAGGCTGGATTTGAACTCAGGGTCTCTGATTTCAAAGCCAGCTCTCTTTCCATTTCCACTGTATCAAGTCTGCTTATAAGCAGAGGGGAAGAAGTCAGTGGAAAAAGAGAAAATAGAGATAAGGACCAGATCTGTGATTTCACTAATACAGGGATGTCTCAGGCAAAGAAATTCCTTCTACCAATATAAATGAGTACCTTCTCTGAAACTTACAGTTAGAAGGTTAGAAAGATTAAATTAAGTTAGATGACTTGCTCAGGGTCAGTGTGTACCTCTAGGCAGAATTCAACTAATTCAGCCTTCCTAGCTTTGAGGCCAACTCTGTTGGCTAAACCATCCTGTCTTCGGGCACCACCAAATGCCTTTAAAGAGGCAGAGAGGGATGGGATCAAGGTCACATGGGAAGGGTTTAGTTAGATCTGGAGGAGAAATTCTTCTTCCTCTAGGAAAGGAAGGAAGGAGGAAAGGATGGGCAAAAATACAAAGAGATTTTCAGATAAATGAGGAACTCACAATGGACTGGCCTTGATTTTCACCCTAAACTGGGGGAGTAAATCAGGAAGAAGATGGGAGGCTTGAAGAGAGTGGGAAAAATATGCAACAGCCAGCATGGGGAATGTCTTAGCCAATCCACAAGAGCTAAATAAAATGACTGCTGAATAGAGATAAAGGCTCCAATGAAGTTAGATCCCATGATGACCTCAAACACCTGGCCCATTTTCACAGCCACCTACACACACAATGGTCATTCATCCCCTCTTTTCCTCCACCCCCATCACTTCAGAGACCCAGGCACCTAGGATATTCCTTCTATTCTAGATCCAGGAACCCTCCTTGAGCTCACCAACACCACCAGTGTTCCTACCCTCTGATCCACCTATGGCATGGCTCCTTGCCAAAGCCTGGGTAAGGAGCTCAGATTTCCAGCTTCACCAACTACAGTACCATCTGCTGAGAGGACATCTGATGGCCGAGGCAATCTCTGTGGCCACTATGAGATGCCTCCCAACGCTGCATCCCATCTTCAAGGTATCTCACCTTAATGCAACATTCAGGGGATACTGCCCAGTTTCACAAATTTAGGTGGAGAGGGCAAGCATTTGATATGCATTAGTAGGCATCTTCTCAGTTCATAAGGAGGTTCATTTAATCAGTATGCAAACAAAAGGTTGGAGATATTTATCTGAACCTTGTGGTTTTTGTTGTTTTGTTTCATTCTGCTTTGTTCTGAACAATACTTATTTCATTAGTACAGGGTGGTCATTTCCAAAGTGAAGGCCCACACAGCACATGGTGTATATAAGATGACTGTTGAGGGTTTGGAAAGAAAAGTCTCCCAGGTCCTCCACAGCAGGTTTCTGGCAGATGACACTCTATCTGGGTGGCCTCTGCTCCCTCTCTCCTACCACCTCCCTCCAAAGGCTGTAGCATTGGCATCAGAGAAAGACTGAGGCTGATTGAGGGGTAGTGAGTGGCAGCAACCCTACCAGACCCTAGACCCAACTGACAAGGGTGACAATATCTGCAAAAGGATGCCTATCTGTTAGGGCTACTGGTTCTCTTCTTCCTCTCTACCTCACCTGCAAGGGCTGGGGGGTAGTGGTGGTGATGGAAACAGATGAAGGTGGAGAGGCCTTCAGAGAGGATAGTGGCAGAGGAGGCAGCAATGGCCAGGCTGCAGGACCCAGTGGGCTGGTCAGGGGTAACAATCAATCAACAAATACTTGTTAATTACCTGCTGTGTTCCAGGCATTGTGTTCTGCACTAGGAATATAAAGACAGAAGTGAAATCCTTGCCCTTGCGGAGCTTACGGCCAAGGGGGAGAGAGAAAGAGGAAGAGACAACATGTACATATATAGGTTTATACAATAAAGTACAAAATAACTTGGGAGAGGGCACTAGCAGCTGCGGGGAGGGGGGGATCAGGAAAGGCTTTGTGCAGAAGGTGGTACTTAAGCTGAGCACTATAGAAACCAGGGGGCGCTGGCTCAAAAATGTCTTACCCACACGTGCAAGGTCAAAAAAAATTTGGAGACCACTGCTGTTAGGAAGTTCTGGAGAAGGCAAGGTGCAGATCAACACTAGCTGTCCCACTTGTAAACTTACCCAGGGTTTCCTGGGCCACAGAGGGGCTATGACTCACCTAGTCATACAACCAGGACTGATCAAAGGCAGGGCTTGTCCCCATCTCTAGATGGGATCTCTATCCACAATGTAATGCTGCATCTTGTATAAATAAATGAACAATAAATGTTTTTAGACACACTTCATGCAATTAGAAGGAAACATGGAAATGGCAGAAAATAGACACAGGTTTCCTTCTCTGGGAAGCCTAACTCATCTTCCTTTTTCTTCACTTGGAAGTGAGGAAGGAGAAGTGAGGAAACTGAGGTACAGAGAAGGAAGCTAATGTTTGAGAAGGTTGGACTAGATGTCTCCTGCCATCCCTTACAGCTCTAAAAGCTTCTAATTTTTTTGATCATATAATTTCCAGTGGGGGTTGTACAAAGGAAAAGAGGGATGGTGGGGGGAGGGGGGAGATAAGCAAACAACAGAAGGTGGAATTAGGTGGGTTTGTCTCCGAACCTGATTCTAGTGATACATGCAAAAATGAAATGGACATATTTTAAATGAGCTTGGAAGCCTGGGCAATTAAGAATAAAAAAGATTTTTTGAAAACAATCAAAAGGGACCATGTAAATAAACCTAGATTCTTTGGCCCTAAAGGCCCCTTGAGAGATTTTGTCCATCTTATCATAAATCAATCCTCTGAAAGGGAGTACCCCTTTTCAGAAAAACTATAGTTCTATCTGCCTGGGTTTCCCCTCTGGGACCTAAATATCCCCCTCTCTTCTCTGTTAACATGTACCCTTTTTGCATAAATAGATCCTGATCCCTCATCTTCGTTACACTATGGAGATCAACATCAGAGCCTGGACAGGGCTTGTCTCTAATGGGGGAGTATTTGATCAGGTATGAGGAGGAATGGGGAATTATTTGACCAGGTAAGAGGGGGTACAGAGGACAAGGTGTGTGTGAGGAAAACAAGTTTTTTCTCCTCCATTCTTTCTTTGCAAACTAGAGTGTTTGCATTAAATCCTGAGGTGTGAGTTCAGGGAAATCTATGTTGAAGTAATATCGAGGACTCAGTCTATACTTTGGGGACCCAGTGGGAAAATTCCAAAGAGGCTGATGTTCTTCTGAACTCCAGTATCCAGTGAATTGAGAGATGTTCCCCCTAATCTCATTGACTCTGTTTTAGTCAATACCCACTCCAGGTTTCTTTCCTTTCTGCTGATCTTAAGATTCCTTCTTGTTTGAATCTGAATCCTTTTCAAAGGATTTTCTGTGACTTTCTGATAGTTAAAGAACCCCCAAACCAGAGCTTAATCAATAATCTCCTCTCGATGTATCACTCCTGGCCTCAGGCTCATCCCCACCCTTTCCTCAAATAGTGAGCACTGGTGGTGGAGGACATGTCACTGTACTCCAGAAAGCAGGGAAGAGTCTGACCTATAGATCCCTCTGTCCACCCAATGACCTGGCTGATCGAAGGCTACTCGGGGTGCCATCCTGTCACTATGCTCATGATGCCCTCCGGCTCTGGGACATCATCAAAAGGTAAACCTTTCTGGTCAAAGATCTGCATCTCTGAGAAGCCAAGGAGGGATGAATTGGAAGAAAGGTTAGGAATTGGAGCTCCCCTAGTCCTCCATCCACAATTAACCTGGCTGTATTTTCCCTTGGTGGGCAGGTATGTGGAGGGGATAGTCCATCTCTACTATGCAGGGGATGAGGCTGTGGAAAATGATCCTGAGATACAGGCTTGGTGCAAAGAGATCACTGAGGTTGGGCTTCATGGAGCCCAGGACCGGGGTAAGACACATATCCTTCCCCTGAGACTCTACATGGACCTACCTCCTCCCTATGATTTACCTCCCCCACCTCTGCCCCTCAGAGACCTTGTCACCCTATCAATTCCCAACTATCTACCTCATATTTCTTCAGCCAGATATATCCCGAGATGCACCACTCTACTAGTATGGGAAAATGCTCTCTCCAACATCTGACTGCATGGGATTTTGAAGTCCTCTTATGCATTTACATTCTAATTTGAATTATATTTATGTTTGTTGTTGTTTAGTCCTTCAGTTTTGTCTGAGTCTTCATGATACCATAGACCATAGCACATCAGGCCCTTCTATCCTCCATTATCTCTCAAAATCTGTCCAAGTTCGTGTTCATTGTTTCCATGACACCATCTGTCCCATCTTACCTTCTGCTGTCCCCTTTTCCTTTTGCCTTCAGCCTTTCCCAACATCAGGATCTTTTGTAATGAGTCTCATCTTCTCATCATGTGGCCTGAGTATTTAAGCTTCAGCTTCAGTAGCTGATCTTCCAGTGAACAGCCTAAATTAATTTCTTTAAGTATTGATTGATTTGATCTCCTTGCTGTCCAAGGGCCTGTCTCAAAAGCCTTCTCCAGCACCACAATTCAAAAGCATCGATTCTGTGGGACTCAGCTTTCTTTCTAGTCCATTTCTCACAGCCATACATTGCTACTGGAAAAATCATAGATTTGAGTATATGGGCCTTTGTTGGCAAGGTGATTATATGTCCTCAGTTCACTTCAACAAACATTAAACACTGGGTCTAGGACATAGAATAGAAAAGATGAAAATCTAAACAGTCTTGCCCATAAGGAGCTCACAGTCTATAAGGAAGGATATGAAATATGCACAAATAAGAATGGTACAAGGGAGGGTGATGAGGGCAAAGAAATTATAGAATTTGAGAGTTGGAAGGGACTTAGGCAGAAATCTAGTGCAGCCTTTATCCAACAGAGATCCCCACTCTATTCTATCCAACAATTGGTCATGTGCTGCTCATTCAACTTCTGGTTAGCTCTAATTGTTAGGAAAGGTTTTTTCCCCTTTGATATCATGCCTCCTCTTGGCAATTTTGTACCCATCATCCTCCATTCTGCTTCCTGGGGCCAAACAAAGCAAAGCTCCTCTACATGAGAGATCTTTCTTTATCTGAGTTTCACACAAAATGGACTCAAGGCCTTTCACCATCCCAGTTGCTTTGTTCTTACACTCTCCAGTTTATCAATGTCCTTCTTAAATGATGGCCAGTCAAGATGCTCTAGGAAGGAGGGCCAGGTAAGGCGTTCCAGGAGATTTGTGCTTTTACCTATTTAATCTTCTCTCCTAGGAGGCAGCTGCAGTATAGTGGTTGGAATAGTGGGCCTAAGAACCAGGAAGACTTGGGTTCCAGTCTTATCTAAAGCATCCACTGGATGTATGACCCTGGGCAAGTCATTTAACTTCTCACTGCTCCAGACAACTATAACTAGCAGAGCAGAGGACCTGCATTGTAAAGGAAGTTTTCCTCACTAGGTGTTCCATATACATACCAATGAAATCACAAGGTCAGGCCCAATTTTTTTCTTTGTTTGTGAGCCCTTTGAGGGCAGGGACACTTGCTTAGTGGCTTTGTATCTGTCAGCTCCTTTAAATCATTCCTCAGATAGCTCATCGTTTTCAGCCCAGGTTCTAGAATACTCTGCTAGCAAAGCACAAGTTCTGACAGGTCCTACCTGTTGAGGTAGGCTTACAGGGTGATAGACATATAACTGTCATAGGAGGGACAGCCTAATTAACCAGTTTGGCTGCCGAGCAATGAAGTTTTTGGCCAGAACAACTCTTGAAAACCATCTGCTAAGGAGCTATGAGCTACAATGATGAAGGGTCTATTCACACAGATGAAATAACAAAGATTTAATATTGTAGTCTAGCCCTTAGTACCTAATGCATTAAGTGCATTAAATGCACAGAAGAGGAGCTTAATTTTTGGTTAATTCTTTGTTTTGTTTTTTAAATTCTTTTTAGTGAGGCAATTGGGCTTGTGCCTTGCCCAAGGTCATACAGCTAGTAAGTGTCAAGTGTTTGGTCTGAGGCTGGATTTGAACTCAGGTCCTCCTGACTTCAGGGCTGGTGCTCTATCCACTGAATTGTTTGTTGAATGAATAATAATTACCAAAAGACTGAATCTGTACCCTCCCCAGAGGAGGACCTGCTAAAACACTTCCAGATGTTTCCCTAAAGTGCACCCCTACCCATCAATGATTTCCAATCCTCTCTAAACCTAAAGAACCCCCAAATATTCCCAAGATGTCAACAGGTTGCTATCTCTTTGGGCCTGCCACAATCCCACCCACTCTCCTTTTCTTCTTTTCATTCCTTCTAGGTTTCCCCACCTCCTTCCATTCCAAGGATGATCTCTGTTTCTTTGTGGCCATGTGCATCTTCACTTGTACCGGCCAGCACTCTTCTGTCCACCAGGGACAGGTACACATACTGTACTGTAAAGCCAGGCTGGGAAAGGGATGAAGCCTAGATTTGTTTGTGGATTGAGGTGGGAGGTAGTATGTTGGACAGGAAACTGAGACACCATCTGCCTGGTCCTCTGAGTGACTCTAGATTCTGCCCTGTGTTTCCTCCTTCCAGCTGGATTGGTATGCCTGGGTTCCTAATGCCCCATGCACTATGCGTATGCCCCCACCCAGTGGAAAGGATGTGACGCTGGAGATGGTGATGGCCACTGTGCCCAATGTCCACCAGGCATCCCTCCAGATGTCTTTAACATGGCAACTTGGTCGAACTCAGCCAGACATGGTGAGGGGATGGGGTTAAGGCTGGGGGGCAGTAGCTGGGCCTCAACTTGAGCTGTTGTAGTACAAAAAAGCCCCACTGGATTTGGAGAAGATCTGGGCTTGAATCTCAGCTCTGACACAATCTTTATGACCTTGGACCCTCTGAATCTGAGTTTCTTCTGTAAAATGGGGGGATTAAGTAGGGGACTGGACAAGAAAAAGCCTTAAGGTTCCTTCCAGTTCTAAATCTATGGCTCCATTAGGGATACTTGAGGATCTATTTGCTGGTCTTTGGACTGATAAGTTGTTTTTTTCTTCTTCTTTTCGGCTCAGGTTCCCCTGGGACAGCACAAAGAAGAGTACTTCTCAGGATCCGAGCCCTGGGCTGTGCTGAACCGTTTTAGGGAAGATTTGGCCATCCTGGACAAGGAGATCACAGAGAGGAATGCTAAGCTGGAACTACCCTATGAATACCTGCAGCCCAGCCGAGTGGAGAACAGTGTCACCATCTGAGCCCTGCCGCTCCTTCCAGCCAGCCTTTTCAAGCTCACCAGCATTCCTCTGACACCTTCACTTAGCTCCTAGCTCTCTCTAAGCATTCTCTAGCCCATTTCTGAGCCTTCTCCTTAAAGCCCTCAGGCTGGAGGAGAGGGAAAGATAAATAAAGCTTTTGCTGCACTGAACTGATCACTAGACCACTTACTAGCTGTGTGATTTTAGACGAGTCATTTAGGTTCTCTGAGTCTCAGTTGTCTCTTTTGTGACATGGGGACATCACACCTTACAGGAGGGTTGTGAAGAAAGCACTAGGTAAATCTTAAAACTCTAGAATAAGGTGGGTTATGTCATAGAACATATCAGTCTGAGCTAGAAAGAGGATTAGAAATCATGCCTACCATGAAAATCTTCATTTTAAAGAAAACTAAAGCTGAAAGGAATCACTTAGACTAAAGCTGCGCGGGAGTCAGGAAATTTGTCGTAGTTTTATGTTTATTTTTGTTTTTCCTCCCTTCCTCCCCACTCCGCATTAGAAAAGGCCACCAGTTCTCTCTCTCTCTCTCTCTCTCTCTCTCTCACACACACACACACACACACACACACACCTATTTATCTCTGTGGACAGCATCTTACTTCACGATCCTTTGTAGCTGATTTGAGTATTTATAATATTCAGAATAACTTAGTTGTTCACAGTTATTCTTTGAACAATATTGCTGTTAATGTATACAACGTTCTTAGTTCTGCTCATTTCACTCTTCATTATTTCATGCAAGTCTTTCCATATTTTTTCTAAAATCAACTTGCTCATCATTTCTTATAGCACAGTAGTATTCCATCACAATCACAGACCACAGCTTGTTTAGCTATTCCCCAATTGATGGGTAGCCCCTCAATTTCCAGTTCCCCCACTAAAAGGCTTGAGTCTGCCCTAAGAAGACTCACTGGACAACAGTGCGCAGGGCTCTGGGCAACTGTCTCATTACTCTTCTCAAAGCAGCCATTTTCTCCAAAAGTGATGGGTCACTATCAGGTGGGGGTAGTCACTGGGAGCTTTGCCTTCTCAGGATCCAGGTGCCAGCTGTGGCTGGTTGGGCTGCATGCTGAGGTGGAATTGGGGCTGTGGCTGTGGCCAGCTCAGGGACAAGTCAGTGAGGGGTGAGGATGTGAAGGGAAGGTCCAAGAATTGGGTAGTCTAGGTGCCACCAACCAGAATAGCTGAGGGATGATCAGGAAAGGGCTCTGGGCTGGGGATTTTTAGTGCACTACCATGCTGATCCCAGACTAGAGGACAGGAGAACAAAGAAGTTGGAGCACAAGGGACACCTGGAACTCTCCCCATTCCTGGCCAATGGACTTGGGCAGGAAGAAACCTTGAGAGGGCATAGTCATGTACGATGGCCTCCTGGGATGCCCAGCAGAGGCCATTTACCTAGGACCCAAAAAGGCAGAGGGGTTGGGGAGGGAATGTGTAGAAAGAATGCTAGACTTGGAGCCAAAGGATCAGGGTTCAGATCCCCTGACTTGGCCACTAAGGAGTTAGTTTGTTACTGGGGGGTCAAATCACTTTAACTTTCTGGGAATCAGTTCGCCACTCTGTAAAATGAGGATAATTGGCCTATCTCCCAGACATGATGGTTTTAGAGGAAGTTGGAGAAAAGCATTTTAGAAATGTGACACGTTCCTATTGCTACCCCTATGGGCCCCTACCCCCTTCCTCTCATTTTTTTTTTTTTAACGAATTCAAGGTTTTTCTGGCTTCATAAAATCTATCTTCTCTCCCTCTCTCCCACCCAATTTTCTACCCTTATAGCAAAAGAAAAAAAAAATCTTTTTAACAAATGCACTCAAGCAAAACAAATCCCCAAACTGACCATGTTTAAATCCTGAATCCAACAGATCTCTATCTGGGAGTGGGTAGCACGCTTCATCATGAATCCTCTGAAATCCGGGTTGGTCACTCATTGATTGGGCTGATCAGAATTCTGAAGTCTTTCAAAGTTGTTTGTCTGTACACTCTTATTGTATAAATTGCTTTCCTGGTTCTGCTCATTTCATTCCATATCGGTTCATGTAGGTTTTCCTAGGGTTCTCTGAAACCCTTCCCTTCCTTATTTCTTATAGTAAAATAGTATCCCATTAACTCATACATTCTCTGGTCTTTCACTGTGGTGACTGGCCTCAGTGCCTTTTCTTTGCCCCATTTTGAAAAGTTGTTCTTTGCTGCCTATCACTTATCAATGATCTGGAATTCATAATTATCCTGAGATGTGTAACTGACAGAAGCCTGTCTCTAGGAAGGATCCTGGAAGCCATCTAACTAACTCCCACATTCCTTTACCTGTTGAAATCCTCCTCATCCATCAAGGCTCAGCTCCAATACCACATCCTTCATGAAGTTTCCCAGTCCCTGCCTTCCACCTTGGACATGTCCTTTCCTCAAGATACATATCTTTTGGGGCAGCTAGGTGGCATAGTGAATAGAGCACCAGCCCTGGAGTCAGGAGGACTTGAGTTCAAATCCGGCCTCAGACCAAACACTTGACACATACTAGCTGTGTGACCCTGGGCAACTCACTTAACCCCAACTGCCTAAAAAAAACAAGAGGAAAAAAAAGAAAAGGGATGGAGGACAGACTTGACACAGAGGCAGAGAGGAAGAGAAAATGGGGATATCACTCAGGAAATTGTTGAGCTGGAGTCCAGGGGTAGGGAGCAGCTTGGAAGCACATACATGGAGATGGAGCAGGTAAGTGAGTCCTTGTTCCCATGCCTCCCCAGCTTGGATGATGAGAAATGAAGTCCAGGGCCTATTTCAGAAACATGGAGAAGAAGAGCTGGAGGAGAGAAGGACACTCTATCGGTGATATCCCTGACCCCGACCCCTCAGTAACTTAAACTCTGACTCTTGGGCCCTACCTTATTTACCCTGTGTCCCTTGACCCTTTAGTGGCCTCTAACCTCCACTGATCCTTGATTTTTAACCCTTCACTGACCTTCTGATTCCATGGACCTCCAGCTGGGCCACCTGGAAGGAAGGGCTACCTTTGTCAGTGGCTGCAGCATCAGAGAAAGACCTGCCTCTGGATGTGAGATTCCATGAGGCTGACTTTGAGGGGACACTGGCTGCAGGGTAGGAATGAGACCAGAGGCAAAACTAGGGACCGGGGTGGGAGTTCCAAGGCACAATGGCAGATATGGGGTTTTGGGAGGGAGGAATTCCAACATCTAATTCCCAACTTAATTTCCTTACTCTTTATCCTAGAATGATGGATATTGCCCTTAAACGTCTGTACACCCTCCTGAACTCCTGGAAGAGCTTGGAAGATTTTGACCAAATCTTCTGGGGCAGCAAGAGTGCCCTGGCCAGTCAGTAACAGCCCCATAATCTTCCAAACCAGCCCCATTTTCTCCAATGACTCATCCATGACATTGTGTCTCCCCCCCCATATCAATAATACCCAGCTTATATCATTGCTGTCTTTCCACTGATCATCTTATCCAGAAATGGCCCTAAAGATGACTCACTTTAGGCCCCTTTCCCAAGGGTGTCCTGGAAGTGTGAGGGTGGGGGGCTCAATGCTTGGGACCCTGAGGAGAGTCAGAGCACAGAGGCCCTTTGGGGTGCTATGATCTCTGCCCTCTGCTCCCAGAGAGGGTGCACCAGTCCTGGAAGGAGGATGATTTTTTTGGCTACCAGTTCCTCAATGGTGTCAACCCCACACTGCTGAGAAGGTCCACCTCACTCCCCACTCGACTCGTGATCCCCCCAGAATTAGAGGGTCTTCAGGTCCAGCTGGAAAAAAAGCTCCAGGTAACCCTCTCCTCTTCTTCTCCTCTCTTCTCCAATCCTTTCTTCTTCCTGGCCATCTTTCTGACAATATGGAATTAAAAAGGCTCCTAGGGATCAAATTAGGTCAGTTTCTCAATACATACAACATATTGTTCAAGGTTTAGGGAAAGGAATAGGGTAAAATTACATAAGAATAACTTGATTTGAAGAATGGAGGAACCCTAACTAGATCCTGGAAAAACATTGATCAATCAAGAGAGTGGAAGAGAGTGTTGACTGGAACAGTCCACGGCAGTAATTCAACACCCAGGGGGGGGGGGGGGGGGGGGGGGGGGGAGAGGGATCTTGTGTAAAACAGAAGGAAGATGGGCATAAAAGCAAAATGAGCCTATCCTTTTTCTGGCAAACATGGAATATAATCAGGTAAACAAGACAGAAAAAGAGGAAACAGATGGAGACAGGGGCAGATTAACCAAGAGATGAAGACTCTCCATACAGATCTTAGTACTGGATCACTGTACACAGGGAAAGAGAGAGAAAGGAGTCAAGAAAGAAAATGATTTAAGGAGTTTCCTAGAGGAAAGGAGTTTGGAAGGGTTGAAAGCCTAAGAGCAGGGAAAAAAAATTTGGGGGAAGAAGTGAGAAAAGAAGGGAAATGGTAGAAGGTTTGTTAGGGGAGGGACAGATAGAGGTCAAACAGTTTGGGAGTTTAGATTGGGTATGGGAAATTAGAAGAAAGAGGGTCATGACCATCCAAACAAAGGGGCCTTCAATCTGCTTCAATATAATGTAAATGGAAAGGGCTCTGGAATCTGAAGACTCGGTTTCTAACCCCTGCTTTACTTTAGTAGCTGTATGACCCTGGGCAAGTCATTTTACTTCTCTGGGCCTCAGTTTCCTCCACTGTAAAATGAGGGGCTGAACTAGATGACCTCCAAGGTGCCTTCCAGGTTTCATATTCTGTGGGTCTGGGTCTAGTTAAGAATCTGGACTTCTCTTTCAGTCCTTTATGCTGATCCTCTGACTGTCCCTGGTATTAAAATTGTTGTTCCACATTAAGCTTTGAACCTTGACCTCAGACTAACATATCCCCCAGGAGGGCTGTCTGTTTGAAGCTGACTTTTCCCTGCTGGCTGGAGTCCAGGCCAATGTGATCCAGGGAGAGAGGCAACATCTGGCTGCCCCCCGGTCATGTTAAAGATGGAGCCTGATGGGAAGCTGCTGCCCATGGCCATCCAGGTGAGGGAACCCAGGCATCCTTCTACCCAGCTCCCTTATTCATCCTTCCTCCACCCCATTGCCTCCCCACCAACTCATTTCCTGGGACAAAGACCTCCGACTCTCTGCTCTGCCTCACCAGCCCTTCTTCCTTTCAAAGACCCAGGGATCTAATGACCTGCCCATGCAGTTCAGTAAAAAGAGCAGTGACCAGAACAGAGGCCCTGGGTTCACATTTACTGCCTGGCTGATGTTGCTCATGTCATTCAGCCTTCCCTGGGCCTCTGAGGCCCCTTCCAATTCTAGGTCTATGATTGTATTGATCCTTCTGTCCTCCAGCTCCAGCCTCCCTGCTCTGGCTCTCCAGACCCACCACTCTTCCTGCCCTCAGATTCCTCCCTCACTTGGCTCCTGGCCAAGGCCTGGGTCAGAAATTCTGACTTCCAGCTGCATGAGCTGCAAGCACATCTGCTGAAGACCCATTTGGTGGCTGAGGTGTTTGCTGTAGCCACCATGAGGTGCCTCCCAGGGATGCACCCCATCTTCAAGTACTCACCTTGTCCTACAGCTACCCTTCACATCCCACCCCTGTGAACCTAGGGAAGGAATTGCCTCTAAGGTTTCCAGAAGCCAACTCCAATTAGAGATGAATATTAAGTTTGGGTTTCTTTTCTTTCATTAATTCAATTTTTTTTTCAGTTTCAAATTCTTTTCCTCTGCTTTTTCCTTCTCCACCCATAGAGAAGAAAAACAAAACCAATTATAAATATGTAAAATCATGCAAAACAACTTTCTGCATTAGCCATGTTGAAAAAAATTTTTAAGTAAAAAAGAGAAGAAAATTTGCCTCAATCTGTACTCTGAATCCTGAATCCACTATTTCTCTATCTGGAGGTAGAAAAGATGTTTCACTGTGAGTTTGTAGGAATTGAGGTTGGTAATTATGTTGAGAACTGCTTCAGAATTGATTGTTAACATTTCTGTTACTGTCTAAATTATTCTTCTGATCCTACTCATTTCTCTTTGAATCACTTCATATGTCTTCCCAGGTTTTTCTGAAACCTTCATGATTTCTTATAGTACAATATTATTCTATTGAATTCATAATCCATATCTTGTTCAGGCATTCCCCCATTCATGGGCACTCAGTTTCCAATTCTTTGTCATCACAAAAAGAGCTGATATTTCCTATTTCGGTATAGACTTATTAGATATATTACTAGGTCAAAAGGTATGTACAGTTTAATAGCATTTGGGCATAGTTTTGAATTGCTGCCAGAATGGATGGAATAGTTTATATCATTACCCAGAATGCATTAGTGTATCTATTAGTGTATCTTCAGCATTTGTCATTTTCCTTTTTGATAATCTTAACCAATCTGATGGGGGTGAGGTAGCTGTTTCAGAGTTGTTTTAATCAGCATTTCTCTAATTATTAGTGATTTGGAGCATCTTTTTATATGGCTATTGATAAACTTCCATTCCTTCCTCTGAAAACTGCCTCTTCATATCTTTTGACCATTTATCAACTGGGGAATAGTTCTCGTAAATTTGACTCAGAAATGAGATGTTTATCAGAGAAACTTACTACAAAGACCTCTCCCCCCTAATTTTTTGCTTTCCTTCTAATTTTAGGTACATTGGTTTTGTTTGTACAAAAAAATTTTAAATTTTATATAATCAAAATCACATATTTTACCTCCTGTGATCCACTCTTTCTTGTTTGTTCACAAACCTTTTGTAAATTTTTTTCAATTTTACACTTAAATACAAAACAAGAGAAAAAATTGCCATGTCACTGCAGACCATAAGAGGATTCAATATAAAACAATAAATTGCCATTTCAAGAAAACCTATAAAATAAATACTATACATTGTTTTCAAAGCTGCCCAGCTTTTCTTTGCTTCCTTATTGGTTTTCTTTTGTTCTCTGCTGAGTACTTTTTAATTTTTTTCCCCTCCTTCCCCTCTCCCCACCTTAAAGAAGGCTACAATTAAGCACAGATATATAGATATCTATAAACAAACATATATACACATATACACTCATATGTGAGGCCATACTATGCTTATTTCCTCCCATCATCTGTTTCTCTGAATGTGGATAGTATCTGCTTTTTTATGTCCAAGTCTTTCCATGTTTTTCTAAATTAACCAGCTCACATTTTCTACACTACAGTACTATTCCTTTCTGGATTCAAACAGCATCTTCCTTCATAGGATCTTTGAGATTAATTCGGGTATTTTAATAGTCAGAATGATTTGACTTGGTTGTTTAAAGTTGTTCTCAAAAGGATACTACTATTACTACATACAATGTTCTCTTAGTTCTGCCCATTTCACTTTTCATTATTTGGCGAAAGTCTCTCCAATGAGGCATCCCATGTTGCTCAGGGAACAAAATAACCACAATGCTAGCACATAAGGCCAGAAATGAGTACTATTTTTCATGTCATTAAGAAAGGTGGTATGAGAAACCATAATCATCTTCTCTGGTTCAAAAGGTTAAAGTAACTTTCCAAATAGCCATTCAGGGATTCCTGCTCAGAGCAGAGACTACAATTGGAGCTCTGCTCCCCCCTGAGAAGCCTCCAGCAAGGACATCAGAGTCCAACTTCTAGGGAAAGGCAACATACAGCGCTAACCTCCACTTTCTAAGCAGAAATGTTTCAGAACTCCCAAAGACAAACCGTAGAAAGAAGTGAAGTTGTGGCAATGGGAGAGAAGGAAGGAGAATTACAGAAAGAGAAGGAATCAAGAAATCAACCTGAAGAAAATGAAGCCTCACCCTCAGGATCCTTGTTGACCATAGGGGCCACCATGACAGTTACAAGTGACCCAGAGAACAGTGGAAGTGAACAGAGTTCTGATGAATTCATTGTGCTTCCTTTGCCACCCCACTGTGTCACAGGAAATTTTGAATACTTGGAAGATGCCCTTATGTGTCCTGACTTCCCTCTTGCCAACCAGACTGACAAAGACAAGAGCAGTGATGACAGTGGTGGTGATGATTCTGATGTCTGCACTGAGAAGCATGACAGCAGCAGTGATCACAGTGACCATCACAGCCATGATGGTCATGCCAATGATATCAACAGCAATGGCTATGTCAAACTCCAAGAACAAGGAATGCACACTGGTGGCTCCCACCTTCACAACGTACAAACTGAGTTAGAACAGAGCAACACAAATGCTGTAGAACTGGAAGAGGAAGAGGAAGAGGAAGAAGCGCACAAAGAGAGTGAAGCAAGTCAGCAGACAGACCAGCAAGCCCCACCCTCAGGCTCCACATTGAATGATGGTGGCACCATGTCTGCTTCTAGTGACCCAGAGAGCAGCGACAGTGAAAGGAGTTCTGATGAAGAACTATTAGCGCCCCCCTCAGTTGTCCCAGGACAACCGGAAGATTTTAAAGATGACCTTTTGTATCCCAGGCTTCCACCTGGCTCCCAGACACCAATGTGCCAGATGGGAGGAGCCAGAGATACAACCCAGCTGCAGTTCCTTTTTTAAGCTTTACCTTTGTAGGTTGAGTTGAGGGAGTGCCATTTCCCAATGCCAGCAGGAAACCCAAGGCAGCTAACGTGCACTCAGACTCTAGAGCCTGCCAGTGGCCATCAGAGATGCTACAAGGGGGGGTGATGCTGAAACCATCACTTACCTCTGGGGCTGTCCTCAGATCCTCTCCCACTTTTCTCTCCTGTTTTTCTTTTTCTCAAGTGGCTAGATGGATACAAGGGAAGTCTTTACACTATGAAAGTCAGTTGATCTATACCTTCCTACTCTCTCCCTTCTTGAGACAGCTTTTAAGACCACTAAAAATTCAAGTTAAGAATAACCTCCAGGGGCAGCTAGGTGGCACAGTGGATAGAGCTTCTGCCTTGGAGTCAGGAGGACCTGAGTTCAAATATGGCCTCAGACACTTGACATTTACTAGCTGTGTGACCCTGGGAAAGTCACTTAGCCAAAGTCGCCTCACAAAAAAAAAAAATTTTTTTTTAAATAACCTCAAGACAATAGTTAATGTGGCAGAATTAAACAGAAAAACATCCCCAAAGGAGAGATCAGAAAAGACTCTTATCTCACCACTTTGCAGAGATGGGAGTTTGTGTGTGGGTTCATTTTTGCTGACTTTTTCTCTTCCACTTTCACCCTCTTAAAAATTTGTTTTAATTTGTTTTCTGAGGTGGCTCTCTGGGAGAAGATGGGAGGAATGTAGGTTAAGATTCTGGTGATAGAGAAAAAATAATTTTTTTAAAAAAACATAAAAAACAAAAAAAAAACAAAAAACAAATAGCCATTCAGGTCTATCATCTATGAATATGCCTAAACTTCTTTTATCTACCATCACTCTGTTTCCATCATCATTCTGTATCACACTATGGGTAACTAGCCCTACAAAGTCACCACATATATGCATATGTATATGTATATATAAAATGCCCTTCATCTTGTTCCAAATTTGTGTCTTTCAAGCTTCATGGGGGTACCCTGTAGTTCTGCTGCAGCTTAATTGACACACTTTAGTCAGATCTTGTCTGCATCTTTCCAGAATTAAGTAACAATTCGATTTTAATATTACTTTAAAAATTTGCAGAGCAGTTTATGTACTTTTTAAATGTGATCCTTGTAACTCTGAGATAGATAATATACGCATTATTATCCTTATTTTACATATGTTATAAACTGTCTTAGAAGCTAAGTAACTTATTTGCAGTCAGACACCTAATGAGAATCAGAGGCAAGTTTTGAATCCAGGACTCTGAAATCCAAGTACAGCTTGCTTCTCCCAATGAATCATCCTCACTCTCCAATGAACAACTATAAACTTTTAGTCCGCTTACTTTAACCCAAACTCCTTTAACTCAACCCAATAATTTTCACATTTGTATAAAACTTTAAGACTTATACAGTGTTTTCTTTTTTTAAATTTTTTTTTGTTTTTAAATTTTTTTTACAGTGTTTTTTTCAAAACAACTTTGTGAGATGGTATAAACATTATAGTCATTGACAGATGAGGAAAGTGAAGCTCCTAGAAGTAAAGCAAATAACCCAAAGTCACAAAGTAAGGGGTAAGAGTTAGGAATGTAACTCTGATGACCTGTCCAGACATCTTCCCGCCACAGCTACATTTGGCTTTCCCTGTACCATGTCCAAATCTGTCCTACTTTCCCATAAGTTCATGAGCATGAATTGAATACAGAATTCCAGGTATAAGCACGTGATGCTTTTGTAGGACAGAAAGCATAGTGGATATGGAAAGATTATTTAATTTAGAGCACTAGGTTCAAATCTTGTCCTCAGACACCACCTATGTTACAGTGGACAAATTACACCTTTTCTGGGCCCAAGTTTCCTCTCTGGTAAAAGAAGGTGTTTGAATATAATAGTGTTTCAGCTTTAAATGATAAAAGAAAGGTAATATGCAAACACAGTCGCCTTTCCTGGCTCAAAGTTAAAGTAGCTCTCCAACTAGCCTTTAAAGGTCCATAATCCATGAATATATCTAAACGTCTTTTGAAGCTGCATCATTCTGTACCACCAGGTACAGAAGGCTTTATGCCCTTCTTTTTGTTGCAAATTTGCTTCTTCCAAGCTTCATGAGGGTGCCCTGTATTGGCATAATTTTCCAGAATCTTTCCAGAATGAATATTATCTTGTGATCCTCACAACCCTCAGATAAATAAAAGTTATTATTACCCCTATTTTACACATGGGTACTCAGAGGCTACGTGACTTATCCTATATCACCTAGCTAGTACCAGAGGTGAGACTTGGGTTCCAAATCAACCTTGCTTTTTCCACTGCCCCATGCTGACTCTCCAATGACAAACACTAAACCTTTTAGTCTGCTCACACAAAAGCTCTTCCAACCCAAACCTTTAATAATTTATAATGCTTCAAGGATAATAAGGTTTTTTTTTCCTTAACAACCTTGTATGGTAGGAAGTATAAATAGTATTATCATCGACAGATGAGGAAACTAAGACTCATAAAGGTGAATCAAATTATCCAATCACACTGTAAGAATCAATGGAACCAGGTCTACTGATTACTTGTCCAGCCCTGTTTCCACTACAGCTACATTTGGCTTTCTCTGTACCAGTTCCAAGTATGTTCTACTACATATGTCCATGAGTTGGAATTGAACCCAGGTGTGGGTATGTGATTTTTTTTGTTTTGTTTTGTTTTTGTACAAAGGGAAGTCTTAGGGAGTGGAAAGGACATTCAATTTAGAGACCTGGGTTCAAATTCTGACTCTGACATCAACTGTTACAATGGATAAACCACAACCTCTCTGGCCTTAAATTTCCTTTATGGCAAAATAAGCGGGTTGGATTAGGTGGTCTCATAGCTTTAGGTTCCCAAAGTGGGCAATACAGCCCCCTGGTGGGTGCTGAAACCATCCCAGGGAGGTGGTAGAAGTCTCCAGTGCAATTGGGAGGTGTTCAATTAAAAACAAAGGGGGAGTGGAAGCATAAGGAAAGAAGAGAAGGTAAAATTTTGAAAAACCATTTGTACACGTTTTATCTGTTGTGTAATAGAGTTAAAGTCATAGTGATTACATTATTTACCAAATAAACACACAAAATGCAAGCTATAACTGATCACTGGTGAAGTCCAACGACAGGTCTTAATAAACAAGTGTTGGCAGGCCAGCTGTAGTGCATTGTTAGGAAGTTCAGCATGCATTCGAAGGAATATGTGCATGTAATGATTTTTTTACAATATGATACTATATGGTTACATGATGTGATACTGTACCATCAAAATTTCAATGCAGAAAAAAGACAAATTTACGATAAATTATTAAATTTAAGATGCATCATTTTTAAAAAAATTACATTTTTTTTGAAATGACGCAAATTGAACATTAAAGGGTTAAAGAAAGTAGTTTTTTGGGGGGGAGAACTGAGTGATTTCTTTTAAAGGGGCAGTAGGCTAAATAAATTTGGGAAACTCATACTTTAAAGTTTAAAGCATGGAGCATATGGCTTTCTCTCTTTGGTTTCAACTGCTTTGCTGATGACTCCTTGACTCTTGCTTGGGTCACAGAAGCACTCTGCAGGGCTTGGGGCTTAACTTTGAGAAATGGTCTGAAGATGCTCTTCCTAGTTCCTAATTGTTAATGAAGGGATCTTTCCCTCTGGAAGTCTCAGTCCCTGGTTCCTCTTACACCTCCCTCTTCCCCCTTCCCCTGAAATTTCAGAAGGCCCACTTGGCAGACCTGGAAACATATATGCTATCACCCCCATTGGACAACCGGTCTTACATCCCATCCCATCCCATCCCAAGCCAAAGGTGGAAACGGGTCTCATCCCCCTCCTCGCCTAAGATGCACGGCCAGACCACTTACCAGTCCATGACGGTCCGGCAGGCCTTCTCCCGAATTCCCCCAATTAAGGGATGAGGGAAGCTCGGTCGACATCCAAAAAAGGCGCCTCGAAGTGGGAATCCAGAGATCCTCTCGGTTGGCTAGACGCGAAAGGCTGGCAGTCACATGACTCTGAAGACGGTCAGTCACGTGAAGATCCCCCCCCTTATTTCGTCCTCCCGTGGACCGTACCTTATTCGTGGGGAAAAAGGAGAGAGAGATTCATGTTTGCCCCCACACCCTGCGGGAGCTGAAGTCCTGCGAATGTCGTCCTCGGCATCCCGTCGTTTCTCCCTTCTCTGAGAATAGCCGGTCTCTGATGCTTTAAGCCCCTCCCTCCCCAGCTGGAGGGGTACTCCCGGCATCAGCTCCTCCGAGTGTCGGGGCCGCCCCTCCCCAGGGGAGGACCTTCTTCTCCCCCCACCCTGCCCCCTTGTCCGCTCCCCCGCCCTCTCGGCTGGCGCTCCGCCTCCCTACTCGCTATCCCCCCTCCCTCCTCGAGCCCGCCCCAAAGCCCCGCCCCGCCTTCCGTTCTAGCCCCGCCCATCCTGGCTCAAGCCCCGCCCTCACTCATGCCCATCACGTATTCGGTCTGGGGCACTTTTCCCAACTCCAGCACTATCTGCCCTACCTCTGCTCTGTTGTGGGCCCGGCCTGGAAAGGTAGGAGACCAATGGGGGCTTGGAGGGAATCGGTGATTGGAACTTTTTTGGGGTGGGACCAGAGAAAGTTTACTGGGAATCTGGGCAGCCGGTTAGGCGGTCTGGAGAAAGGAATGGTGGAGGGGGCTGAGAATCTGGAGAACTAGGAGATGTAGTGGGGTTAAGCAGCAAGCATTTATTAAGCGCCTACATTGTGCCTGACACTAATAAGAGCTGGGAATACAAAGAAAAGCAAAAGACAGAGCCTAATTTCAAGAAGCTCAGTCTAATAGGGAGAAGTCGAGATTAGGACGAAGGGAAGGTCTGGGGAGCTTGAGTTTATAAAGTAGTTCCTTGAGCTGTGACCTGCGAGCTACAATGGCGAAGGGTCTACCCACACGGATGAAATGACAAAGATTTAAAATACTGCAGTATCCATTCACTAGTAGCTAATGCATTAAGTACATAGCACAGAAGAGCTCAATTAATGTTGGTTGAAAGAACCTCAAACTGCTTACCTTCTCGATGAGGGACAGGAGGAGAGAGAGCATTTGGAACTCAAAATTTTTTAAAATGAATGTTAAAAATGCTTTTATATCTAATTGGAAAAAATAAAATATTAAAGTTTCCAAAAAATGAACCTTGAATAATAACAAAAAAAAGATCTATACCCTTTCTCTTCTCCCTTCCTAAAGAAGAATCTTTCATAAAATAAAGTTAACCAATTGGAAAAAGATAAATCTTAAGGAAAAGAATAACTCCTTGAAAACTAGAATTGGGCAAGGGGAAGCAAATGACCTTATATAAGACACTAAGAAATAGTAAAACTAGAAAAAATAGAAGAGAATCTGAAATATCTCATTAGAAAAACAACTGATCTGGAAAACTGATGAAGGAGAGACAATATAAAAATTGTCCTGATGTGGATACAAACAGTGCCCTAAAAGCTAAAAATAAAATAAAATAAAAAATTAAGGGTTGTTTTTCCAGTACCTTGTGAGGCCCCTCCTGAGCTTGAGTACCTCCTAGAGTCTCTTCCCTTTATCCTGAGATATCCCCCACCCTATCCTGGACCATAAAACTTCCTTGCCTCCCTTATCCTGAATCATAAAGGTTCCCCTGTCTTCCTTATCCTGGGTCCCCTATCCGGTCATCCATCTTCCTCATCCTGCCTCATGACAGTTCCCCCTTATCTTGTAAGATAAAACAGGCCCCTTTCCCTCTGTAAGTTGCTAGTGCTCTTTTCAGGGCTAGCCTGCTGCTTTTTCGTCAATAAAGCTCCCAATGGTTACAGAGAAGGTCTAAGTGAATTCTTTCACACTTGAACCAGCTTTCCCAACTCTAAACTTCAATGTAAAATGGGGCCAAAATCCAGGAGTCCAAATATTAATTGGACTCTGCTTATCTTCTCTTAGCCACTGGGATAATAGGTAAGCAATCTTTTTTTTTTTGTTTTGTTTTGTTGTTGTTCTCCTCCCCAGATCTTTATGCTCCTCGTCTCTCTGGCTGAGAGACCCCTGCAGTGCCCAAACACTGCCAGCAGCATCTGAAGCTCCACTGACTGGACTGGTGACCGCCGTATAACTAGGAGACTGTTAGGATGGGAAATTCAGGGAAGGAGATCTTAAGGAAAAGTGCCAAGTGCTCCACTGTAACACAGCCTGACCTCAACGTAATCTAGAAAAGTAATTTGTGAAAGGGATTTCTAAACAAGACAAGCTTAGTAAGAAATTTGGTCTCCAAAACTTAAAGAAAAGGCACCTTGCTCTGCTTGAGCAGGCTTTTTCCCCCTGCACCCTGGTTTACTTTGTGTTGTTCCTTCCCCTCCCCCTGGAACGTTGGGGAGGCGGGTAGGTGGACCTTTTCACCTGGTTTTCTTTGGGGTTCCCCGTGCTCCAGTTTCAGAGTCTTCATGCCCTGTGGGCCACTGTACCTGGTTTTCTTTAGGGGTCCCTGCACACCAGTTTCGAGGTCTCATTTTCTAGTACATGCAGCTCGAAATTCCCAGGAGGATGGGAATGGAGAGCTAGAATGCTTAGGAATCTGATAAGTCTCAAATATAAAAGGAACTCCAGCTCAAGGAAATAAAAGGTTATTTGGAGCTGGGAATTGTCACCATATGTCTTATGGATAATAATCTTTTCCTTTAAAGTGCTAAGAGTATTGGGCCTTAGAAATTAAAATGTTACCACTAGTGATTATGAATCCAGATCTGATTTGCTCATCCAACTAAGTTAAGGTCACCTGATGGGTAATTAATTGGTTGTTTCAAGTTTTAAATATATGATAATTGCTTGTAGTATGGTTATATTTCTAAATTTTCTTATATTGTGTAATTTGTATAGCAATTGCATCGTGTTGTTAGAAAAGCAATTTCTCTTATAATCTAGATGTTGTTAGATAAGAATTGTACTGTCAGATTATGAGGTTGTTAACTAAGACAAGGATTTTTGGAACTATCTCATCATAAATTCTTATCAACCCTGTGCGAAGTCTTCTATAGTGGAATTCCTGAGTAAAATTTTAAAGGCCTGGTAAACTTTGTTATTGTGATAAGGTTAATTTAATTGGGTAGGTTCTCATAGAACTTACCTTAGAACTTAGCCTTAGGAAAAAACTGAACTTCCCAAGATAAACACCTTTCGGTACTTAGTAATTTGTGATTACTGATAACTTTGGTTTTATGGCACTTTGAGGATTTGTGATACTTAACAAGACATTTTTCACAACTTAGTTTTAATATATTCCAATCTTTAAGGTTTCCAGCTAATTTATTTCATGAAAGTTTAGTTATCCTTTTGACATCAGGATAAATTGTAAGCTTTTTTTTAAAGAAAGGGAAATGTTTTTTTTTTACAAAGAAATGTTTTGCAAAATCTTTTTGTGTGATTTTTAGAAAGCCTACTAAATTTCCATTTGCAAACTAATTTGTGCAATAATTTAATACTGATAACAATTATGTCCAAATCTACGGTGAACTTTTCAAGTTTCATTCCTAGGTTTGTTGTGTCCTTGGATCAGCCTTAAATGGGTGCTTTTAGAGAAACAGAGTCAATGATTTGTGCTTCAGGTACCATAAGAAAGGGCACTGGTCTGATGAATGTAGGTCTGAAAGGTTCAATGGCCCACTCAAAGTTTTTAAGGGTGAACCACAGAAGTGAAAAAAGGACAGCTAAAACATCTTAGCAGATTCTGGAAGTTTTGAGATTAATCATTAAGGAGTGGTGAAACAACCTCCTTACAATCTTGTCACTCCCTTCCTCCCTCCCCCGAGTCAAAAGGGCATCTCATCGAGGGGATTCCAAACAGCCCAGGGTTTTTTCTGTTAACCCTTCTCCTCCCAGATCAGATTAGGAAAAGAGAGTTTCACCCTTCATCCCCCCTCCCCCCCACCTGGCGAAGGGAAGGAGGGAAGAAGCCTGGAAGTGTCTTCCAGCATACTGCTGGCCCATGGGGAGAGTGTGAAGGGGGATGGGTCAAAGTAAAGAAGCCAGTCAGTCATCGCCTGCAGTTGCTAAGCCAGTCTATCTTCCTATCAATAATTTTCATGTGATCTGGAAACACAATTGTTGTCATCTGAAGTTTATTGTTTTGTGTTACAGTTAAAACCTAAAGCTGGTAATTGATTACTTAGCTCTAAGGAGCTTATTTGGATTATGGAGTTCCTAAAGGAGGAACTTGGCTTGCTGAGAATTTGCAAGTATATAGAAATGATCTCTAGTGACTGGCTTTTGCACAAGGACAAGTTTAAATTTGAGATGTGAGTCCTGGTAAATTTTCGATTAGTGAAACTTGCCATCTGAGGTAAAAGCTCTTGGGACTACAACAAATTGAATTTTGAGTTATCTGATGGATCATAAAAATCCATCCATCATCAATAGTCAATAATCCACCATCTGAGAAAAATGCCACAAGCTACTCGGAGAGAATGTGATTGTTACAGGTGGAGGTCTGCCTCTGGAAAAGCTAAGAGGACAGTCTTAGCCTCAGCCTAGAATGGGATCCTCCTGCCTCAGTTTCCCCCATTGTATTCCTTTGAAAAGGAATGTTTCCCACCTGACTATTCCTGAGTCTGGCTATGAGGTGGAATTGATACTACATGGTTGGAAAACTGTAATGTCCTTGCTTTTCCTTTTTATGGCAAATTTCTGTATTCAAAGCAAGTGATCGGTAAAAAATGTGAGTGCAATACAAGTATGTGAAATCTTGCTGTTTTCAATCCGAATGTGTAGTCATCCCATATCCCAAATAGTTGGATAAATTAGTACTCCTGAATAGTCATGTGAAAGATTAAATCCCTGGAATAGAACATTCTTTCCGAATGATATGGGAATAATTAAACAAAGGGGGAAAAAAGTTTGTGAAACAAAGGTACAAACACAATATTGAATTATTATCCCACAGACTAAGGCTGGGATACATCTAAGCTACTATAATAAAGTATATGTTTAAGATCCTAGCTATTCAGCATAAGATTATATTCCTTATTTGTTAAGCAACTTAATAAGTGGGTATTTGGCCTAGACATCTGCCTGTTGCTAGATATATGTCTATACGGAAAAAGGTCCTTAAATTTCAAAATGACATAAGAATAATTGGGTATACAACTGATTGAGGGACCTAGCTGTTATTCTATTAACTACTGAAAATCAGAGTTTGGGGAAAAGAATTTCAGTGCAATTTTCTTAGAGGGAGGTAACTTATGGAATATTTTTGCATTAATGGAAAAAGTTGATTTCATTTAAAGTTTACTACTACTGTAGAAATAATACCTGTTTATACTGTGTCTCCTGTGGTACAAACATGTTTTATTGTAAACAACTTAGTGATATGCACTGTTTTGTAATTAATTACTTATGGGTCCTCTGAAGTATTTTATGATAACTAAAGTCAATCTCTTATAAGTAAATTCATTGTATAACTATTGAACTCAAGGGTAGAAAGCTTTCTGCCTGCAAAAGTGTTGTTATTTATATTTACATGTATAAAGTTGGATCCTCAATGGCATCTGATCCTCTTAAAATAACTGGAATCAGAGTGGAAACTTTGGAGGAAATAACAAGATCAGATATTCCTGTATGTCAAAAGTAAATAACAGCATTATGGAGCTCTTGATTTCTTTCTTTGTTTTCCTCTTTTTTGACATCATTTTTAATGTTCCTTCTATTTGGGCCCTGCATATTGAAACTTGTTTGTCAGATTTATGTCTCCTAGACTATTGACTGTCCATCTGCAGATGGTCATGCAACAAGGATACCTGTTCCACACTCTCCTCATCCCCTGGACACTGCTTTAGCCTCATTTTATTCCTCTCCCCACCCCAACTCAAGCAGGGGCAGTTCCTTTGTTCCTCTCCCAAAAGCATTTGGGTGAATAGGCAGACAGGAGTGCTTAAGGCAGGTGGAGCAAGCAGGATGCAGGATGTGAGATAAGGGATAAGATGCAGGGTGTGATCAGTCAGAAAAGTGATCAAAGAAGACTATGCATTGAAGCCCCTCACCGTGGGGACTTGCCTGTGTGCTTTCTAGCTATGCTGTGTTCTGGGCCCCACCTTGAACCACTTCTCCTATTACCTATTTCTGATTCCCACCTTGTGCCTAGGGTCAGGCCTGCTTCCCAGGGACTGGGAGTCAAATGCTTTAATTCAAATAGGGCACTCTGTGGGGCAGGGCAGAGTACATGATTGCTGGGTGTGTCAACTAGCTTACTACCCATAGCTCTCCCCCCAATTCCCTGAAAACCTTGCATGGAATTTATCCTTTGAGTGTTCCTCTAAAGACCTCTGTGCCATAGTAATCACTCACCTATTTCCAAACCTACCAGCCACTGTTTCACTTCTGGTAAGTGACACAGCCAATGGCTTATCTGAGCTTCAAGAATCACTTGAGAGGCAGCTAGAGCTCCAGCCTTGGAATCGGGAGAACCTGAGTTCAAATCTGGCCTCAGACACAACACTCACTAGCCGTGTAACCCTGGGCAAGTCCCTTAACCCCAACTGCCTCACCAAAAAAAAAAAAAAAAAAATCAATTGACCCCTTAGCCAAAATGGTTCTAGACAACTGGGTTGCTCTTGATTATCTTCTTGCCACCTCAGGAAGTGTTTGTGCTTTGGGCAACACCTCTCACATGTACGGTAATAATTCCTGTAAGATAGAACTTCGAACTGAAAGCATACTTACAGGAAGCCTCTTGGATGCAAGACATCCACTCTAGCCTAATATCTCCCCCTACCTCCTCCTGGAGGTCATGGTTCCTCTCCCTTTTTTCCCCCATTCTGACTCTGTTACTAATCATTTTACTCACTCTTATATTTGGTCTGTGCTTGTTTAACCTCCTGCATCGCTTTGTGTCTTCTTGCCTGCAGAAACTCCACTTTCAACTCTTAGGATATCAACCGCTATCCTTGGTGTCTCCAAGTGGTTTGCTTCTCTCTACCTTGGACTCAGCTGACACCGAATTCCCCACCCCCACGATGACCACTTCTCCTCAACCTATTCTTGAAATGGACTCTTCGAGCCCGTTCAGTAGGAAGCAGCTACCGAAGACAATGACCTTCACCTCTTTTCACGAAAGATTTCTCCTGCCTAGTGATTGAATGGGGAAATGACACGGACACAAACAATGCCCTAAAAGCTTAAAAAAAAAATTAAGGGTTGTTTTTCTAGTACCTTGTGAGGCCCCTCGGAGTTTGAGTACCTCCTGGAGTCTCCTCCCCTTATCTTGAGATACCATAAAACTCCCTCCCCCCAATCCTGGACCATAAAACTTTCTTGCCTCCCTCATTCTGAATCATAAAAGGTTCCCCAGTCTTTCTTATCCTGGGTCCCCTATCCTGTCGTCCATCTTCCTCATCCTGTGTCATGACAATTGCCCCTTATCTTGCAAGATAAAACACGTCCCTGTCCCTCTGTAAGTTGCTAGTCCTCCTTCCAGGGCTAGCCTGCTGCTTTGTAACCCACTGGTTACAGAGAAGGTCTAAGTGAATTATTTCACACCTGAACCAGCTTTCCCAACTCTAACCTCAACAGTCAGACTACCTGAAAGTTATGATCTAAAAAAGAATCTGGATACAATATTACAAGAAAACTATTAAGGAAAATTACCCTGGAATTCTAGAATAAAAGAGTAAAGTAGAAATAGAAAAAATCTACTGTTCACTATCTGAAAGAAATCTAGGAGTAAAACTTACAGGAATATCATAGCCAAGTTTCAAAACTCCCAGGTTAAGGAAAAAATACTGCAAGCAACAACAACAAAACATTTAAATACTGTAGAAATACAGCCAAGATCTCACAAGACCTAGCAGCCTCTACTCTAAGAGACTATAGGTCTTCAAACATATTTCAAAGAGCAAAAGAACTGGGGTTGCACCCAAGAATAACTTATCCATTAAAGTTGAGTATAATCCTGAATGAAAAAAAAATGAATATTGACAAACTGAAAGACTTTCAGATATTTGCAACAAAAAGACCAAAACTCAATGGAAATTTCAATATAAAAGATCCAGAAGAAATATAAGGAAAATATTAAAGACTATTATTCTATATGTGAAAATGTCATAAGTATTCTCAAAGCTGTCATTATTGCTAAGGTAGTTTGAAAGAAAGTTTGGGGCTGAGTTCTGCATGACGGGGTGATTCTAAAAAACAAAACTGGGCAGGAAAAGGTAAAAGGGAGCAATTATAAAAAAATAGGGTGTGAAATGAAGAACTAACAGAGGAAGCAGCTGGGGGTGGAGGGCTGGTAATACTGGAATCTTACTCTCATCTGAGTTGGAAAGGAAACAAAGTGTACAAGTGGAAGGGTGTAGAAGTCTTCTGAATATGTAAAGAGGTGAGAAAACCGGGGGATAGGGTCGAGGAGGAGCTTTTGGAGGGGTGTATAGATTGGGATTGGGAGGGGGGGTTCTTGAAGGGGTAGGTAGGATGGGGAGTGGGAGGGTGGGGGGAGAAGATAAGGTAATAGGGATAGGCTGAGAATGAAAATAGTGAGTAAAAATAAGATGGAGGAAAATTTCACAAGTAGTAATTAAAACTTTGAATGCAAATAGGACGTTTATAGCAGCTCTCTTTGTGGTGGCAAAGAACTGAAAATTGCAGGGATTCCCAACAATTGGTGAGATGGCTGAACAAGTTGTGGTGTATGGTTGTGATGGAATACTACTGTGCTATAAGAAATGATGAGCTCAATGATCTTAGAAAGGCATAGAAAGACTTGCACAAAATGGTGAAAAGCAAAGTGAGCAGAACCAAGAGAACACTATACAGTAACAGCAATATTGTTTTGAGTAAGTCATTCTGACTATTACAAATACACAAATTAAAAATAATGGACATATGAAGAAAGAAGCTATCTGCACCAAGAGAAAGAACTGACAGGTGTATAGAATAATTTTACATACACACACACACACACACACACACACACACACACATATATACTGTGAACCCCTCTTCAAACCATTTTGAACCCCCATCACCTGAGAGAGGCCTAACATCTGGATTGGCCAATCAAGAGAAAGACATTTTGGTCCACTCTGAGATTAACCTACCATAATGCTTTGTGTGCTCTAGCATAACAGACATGCTTTGCTTTGTTCTCTGAGTGAACCCAAAATGCCCCTTCCTGTGTCAGCAATTACAAGACCAGATGAAGCTGACCAGGAGCATTCTTCTGTTTATGATTGTCCAGAGCAGGATGCCTTGAACCAGACATTATCATGAATAATGGGACTTTTTCTTATCTTGGTATTTTATGGATACGTGTTATGCTATATTATGCTATCTATATATAGTCATGTTAATGATAAAATAAACACAGACATGATGGATCTATAATTTCTGTGAACACTTTGACATTCTCCTACCTTATTGTATTTACAATCTATCCAATTAAGAAATATCATATTATGGCTAACATATATGGAGACTATAATTTTGGCTGACATAGGCATCCTGAGCCAGGAAGGAAGGGACAGAGGGGTGAGAGAGAATTACTCTGAAGATATAAGATCCCCTTTGTCTCTCTGTCCTTGGGCTCATTTTCTACAATGGGTTCCCATGCATATCTTTATATGTATGTTCCACAAGCTTGGAGAGAAATAAACAGGCACATGCAGCCTAATTTTGTTTGTCTTCCTTAGAACAAACTCAATTATGGTTGACAATACATATATATATACATACACATACATACATAAACACCTATTTGTGTTTAATGGTAGCCATCCCTAGAGAGGGATGGGGAAGAGGGAAGAAAAAAAGGAGAAAAAAAGAAATTTACATGATAACTTTATTATATATTTAAAAGGAATAGCAAATTGTACCTAACAGATTTGCAGTTTCATGTGCAATCATCATTTTTATTATACTATGTAATAGAAATGCTTGTTTTATTCCATAAAAATAAAATTTTTAAAAAGAACCCAAGACACTTTCAAATATTTCCCTAAACTGCACCCCCCCATCATTTCTCCAAAGCTTCCTCCGAACCCAAAGAACTCCCAAGATTTCAACAGGTTGCTGTCTCTGTGTGCCTGCCACAACCCCATCCAGTCTGCTCTTAACTGTCTCTATATCTCCTATCCCTTCTTTCCAGGAATGGAGCTCTGCTGCTTTATGACCTTGTGCATCCTTACATGTATAGTGTCATTAAGTCAGACTGGGAAAGGGACCTGCTCATGGATTGAGGTGGAAGGTTAGTGGTGCCAGAAAGAAAACTGAGAGACCATGTGTTTGGTTCTGAGAGACTCTAGAGACTCTTTTTGTTTCCTCCTTCCAGCTGGATGCCCCTGGCAATGGCAATGCCCCATGCATATGCCCCCACCTAGCATAAAGGATGTGACACTGGAAATGGTGACAACCACTCTACCCACTCACCAGGCATACCTTCAGATACTGGGTCAAGTTTAACTATGGTGAGGGGATGAGCAATTAAAGTTGAAGACCGGGGCAGCTAGGTAGCGCAGTGGATAGAGCACCAGCCCTGAATTCAGGAAGACCTGAGTTCAAATCCGACCTCAAACACATAACACTTACTAGCTGTGTGACCCTGGGCAAGTCACTTAATCCCATTGCCTAGCCAAAAAAAAAAAAAAAAAAAAAGTTGAAGACCAGTGGCTAGATCTAAACCTCAGATGAAAAGCATAGTACAAAAGTCTTCCTACTCCACTCAGTCCTCTAGCAGTCAAAGTGATTTTACTTAAACTCAGATTCAGCCATGTCACCCCACCCCCCCACTCTCCCATCTACACTTTATAAACTCCAGTGGTTATTACCTCCAGGATCAAATACAAAATCCTGTTTGGCAATAAAACTTTGCTTAACTTAGGTCCCTTCTCTCCCATATTTCCAGTCTTCTTATACCATATTCTCTACCACATACTTCTTGATAGAGTAACACTGGCATCCTTGTTGTTCCAGGGACAAGATATGATACTCCTTATCTCTAAGCTCCAGGCATTTTCTCTGGCTGTTCCCTAGGCCTGGAATGCTCTCCCTCTTAATCTCCTGGATTCCTTTAAGAACCAACTAAAATGCTATCTTCTAAAGGAAGTCCTTCCTAGTCACTCTTAATCTTAGTGCTTTCATTCTGTTCATTATATCCTATTTATCCTGTATATAGTTCGCATGTACATATTTATTTGCTAGTTGTTTCCCCCATTAGATTATGAGCTTGTGGTATCTTTTTAAGTATCTTTTTAAGCATACTTTTAAAGTATCTTTTTAAGTATACTTTTTAAGTATCTTTTGCCTTTTTGTAATTCCAGTGTTTAGTTTGGAATGAGATCTGGGCTCAACTCTGATGGTACTTTCCTGATCTTGGACACGCCCTCTCTCTGAGTCTGAGTTTACTCCACAAAAAGAGGAGAGACTGGCTGGACCAGTGCGATAGGGGAAGGGAACTACACCAGAAGGAAGCTTAAAGTTCCTTCTAAATCTAAGATGCTGTTAGGGAACTTCTTGCTAGTCTTTTGGGCTGCTATGCTCTTTCCATCTAGCTCAGGTTCCCCTAGAACTGCACAAAGAATGCTTTTCAAGCTCTGGGATGTTCGCTATGCCGAGCCATTTCAGGGAAGATTTGGACTCCCTGGAAAAAAGAGATCATAGAGAAGAATATTCAGTAAACCCTGGCCTATGAATACCTGCAGCAGCCAAGCCGAGTGGAGAACAGTCACCATCTGAGCCCGCCCCACCCTTTCCAACCACAATGTCCCAAGCTCACTAAACTTTAAGTTCTAGAGCTCTAGTCCATTCTCTAAGCCTTCTCGTTGCCCTCTTTTAAAAAGCCTTCATGTTGGAGGCAAGGGAAAGATAAAGCTTTTGATGCGCTGAAATAAATACTAGATTTCAGTCAGGACTACCAATCCTAATAGCCACTTAATAGCTGTGTGATTTTAGATAAGTTATTTAGGCTCTCTGGGCCTCAGTTGCCTCTTCTGTAAAATGGGGATACTACGACTTACGGGAGGATTGTGAGGAAAGCCTTTGGGAAAATAAAATTCTAGAAACTGAGAATTATGTTGTAAAACACAAGGTTATTAGCTGGAAAGGGACACAGAAATCATCATGTCCTACCCTGAAAATCATCTTAAAAAACAAAAATACCAAACATAACCAAAACTTAGAGAAGTCACTCAGTCAGACTAAAGCGGCTTGGGATTTGGGAAATTAGCGCTGGTTTTTATAAGAAGAAACTGAGTCTATTTTCTTTCTGGCATCCGTTGGATTGTCTATCAGCACCCCACATCCCCCCAAAACAAAAAGGGCAAGTTTCCTGTTCCTGATAACCAAGCCCTTTTATTTCCCATCCAGGCAGTTCTAATCACCTCAAAAAAAAAAACTCCAGACATTGCCCCCTCCCTGCCCATTTTCCATGGCAGGTTCAGGCCCGTCCCCCTGGGTGGGGAAAGTGGAAGCTCAAAGAGTCGGAGAAGGGTGGGGACTGTGTAGGTACACGGGCAAGTGTGGGAAGGGCTTCTTCATTAAAAGGCCGGACTGCGCTGAGGAGACTCACTGGATAGCAGTGGGCAGGGCTCTGAGCGACCTTCCCGTTACTCCTCTCAACAGCCACAGTCTCCAGACAAAATGGGTCGCTACCGGGTACGCGTGGCCACTGGGAGCTTCGCCTTTTCGGGGTCCAACAACCAAGTGCGGCTGTGGCTTGTCGGGCTGCGGGCAGAGGCGGAACTTGGGCTGAGGCTGCGGCTATCTCGGGGACAGGTCAGTGAGGTGGTGAGGATGTGAAGAGAAGGTCTGGGAACTGGATAGTCTGAGTGCCATGGACCCGGACAGCTGAGAAAAGATCAGGAAAGGGTTCTGGGCTGGGAATTTTTAGCTTACTGCCATGCTGATCCTAGATTCGAGGACCAGAAAACAACGAAGTTGGAGCATAAGGGACACCTCTCCTGTTCCTGACCAATGAACTTGAACAGGAAAAAACTTTGAAAGCGTATAATCATGAAGTATGTATGGCCTTCTGGGATGCCCAGGAGAGGCCATTTACCTTGGAGTCAAAAGGAACAGGGAAGGGACCTACAGAAACAATGTCGGACTTGGAGAGCCAGAGGATCTGGGTTAAGATGCTCCAACTCTACCTACCAAGAATCTAGTTTGTTCCTGGGTGGTCAAATCACTTCATTTTTCTAGGCATCAGTTTCCCTCTCTAAAATGAGGGTGACTGGCTACATACCAGGCAGGCTTGTTATAGAAGTTCTGAAAAACATTATGGAAATATGACATGTTCCTATTGCCCCCTTGCTGTTTGTTCTTCTCTTAGAATTTTAAAAATTATTTAGTAAAGAAAAAACAATTTTTCTCCCTCCCATTTCCCTCCCCACCCCAATGAAAAGAAAGAAAAATATGCATAGTCAAGCAAACCAATTCCTAAACTGGCCATGTCCAAAACACAGATCTTAATCTGCATCCTGAGTCCAACAAACATGAGTCCTCTGAAATGATGGTCAGAGTTTTTAAGTCTTTCAAAGTTATTTCTCTTTACAATGTTGCTACTGTATGATGTTCTGGTTCTACTCACTTTACTCTGCATCAGTCCATACAAGTCTTCCCAAGTTTCTCTGAATCTCCATCATTTTTTACAGCACATGTATTCCATTACATTCATATATCCCCAATGTCGATCTCTTTGATGACTGATCTCACTGCCTGTCCCCTGACCATTCTGAAAAGCTGTTCTCTGGGGGCTATCACTTTTAAATGTTGTGGAATTTATTGTTTATAAGATGTGTATGAGGTGTGTAACTCACAGAAGATGAGAAAGATCTTAGATGGTCTCCAGTCTAACTTTCCTGTCCTTTTTACCTCTTGAAATCCTACTCATCCATCAAGGCTCAGCTCCAATACATCCTTCACAGGCTTCCCAATCCCTGCCTCCCCCACTGAACTTGTGCTTTCCCCAGACTAACCACTTTTCATAAACTTATGTCACTTAAAGAAACATTTTAAAAGTTTTATTTAATTGTATTGATCTCAACTACTCAACCCAAGTATAATCCTATAGCATCCATAATGGTATGTAATAGGTACATAGAATATAAGAAATGAAAAGAACCTTAGAGATTTAATTGAATTGACCAAATAGTAAGTACCTACTATGAATTTACACTGTGATAATACAACTCCTTCACTTTAAAAATGAGACTGAGGTCCAAGCTCGTATATGTTGTAAGGGGCAATCTGGACCTGATTATCTCCAACAGTAACAGTGTGCATGAATTTGGTAAGCTCATTCCTCACATTCTTATCTAACAGTGACCCCCAGAGAAGAGACCTGCGAAACTTCTTTTCAATACAGAGGCAGAGTATCTTGAGGTCGATAGACTTAGGTTCAAATCTTACCATATTTATGACATTATTGGCAAGTCTCTTAACCCCTGAAGCTTCGGGTACCTCATTTTTAAAATCTATAAAAATACATGACTTTGTGAGCTATGATTACAGTTCACTATCTCATGATTCTCCTCCCCTCCCCTCCACCCACACCCCAGATGGAGGATTTTGAAGTTGATGTCTCAGAAGACCTGGGTCCCCTCCTGTTTGTGAAGCTTCGTAAAACCCACCTTCTGCTGAAGGATGCCTGGTTCTGCAACCACATAACTGTTTGGGTATTTCAGGAGAGCACGGAGGAGAAGGAGATAATGTTCCCCTGCTACCGCTGGGTACAAGGGGATGGCATTATCTGCCTGCCTGAGGCCACTGGTGAGAAGGGTGGATTCTGGGGCAGAGGACTTAAGGCTGGTAGGGAGCTTAGAGGTTGTCCAAATTATTGTCCTCATTGTAAAGAAAACTGAGGCTCATTAAAATAATTCGACTTGACAAAGGTGGGGTACAGTTGAAGTTAAAGTTAAGGAATAAAAGGGAGTTGTTGAGGAAAGGATCAGAAGGAAGGCAGAGGACATAAGGAAGGGAAGGCACAAGGAAGGCAAACTACAGCTAGGGGAAAGGAGGTCAGAAGTAGAAGAAGCTGGAGGAAAAGTTTATATGACAATTATAAGTTTAAGACTGGACATAAAGCAGTAGCTTTACCTGGGTGAGGCTGGGGACATGAGGAAGAGAATGTACAGTGTGTCATTCTAGGAAGTTAATAACAAAAACAGTTTAAAGGTTTCTGAGTAGAAAATGTGAAGAATGTGATTTTGGAGAACAAGAGGTATGGGAATAGGTGAGGGTTGGTAGGGACAGAAAACACACCATCTAGAACAAGGGAAGGGGTAAGATGGGGACAGGAGACTTGAGGTGAGGACACAGAAGACTGGGTAGCAGTTAAGAAGAGGGAAGGGGATGGGCTTGACGCAGAGGCAGAGAGGAAGAGAAAATGGGGATATGACTCAGGAAATTGGTGAGCTGGAGTCCAGGGGTAGGGAGCAGCTTGGAAGCACATACATGGAGATGGAGCAGGTAAGTGAGCCCTTGTTCCCATGCCTCCCCAGCTTGGATGATGAGAAATGAAGTCCAGGGCCTATTTCAGAAACATGGAGAAGAAGAGCTGGAGGAGAGAAGGACACTCTATCGGTGATATCCCTGACCCCGACCCCTCAGTAACTTAAACTCTGACTCCTGGGCCCTACCTTATTTACCCTGTGTCCCTTGACCCTTTAGTAGCCTCTAACCTCCACTGATCCTTGATTTTTAACCCTTCACTGACCTTCTGATTCCATGGACCTCCAGCTGGGCCACCTGGAAGGAAGGGCTACCTTTGTCAGTGGCTGCAGCATCAGAGAAAGACCTGCCTCTGGATGTGAGATTCCATGAGGGGAAGAAGATTGACTTTGAGGGGACACTGGCTGCAGGGTAGGAATGAGACCAGAGGCAAAACTAGGGACTGGGGTGGGAGTTCCAAGGCACAATGGCAGATATGGGGTTTCTGCGGGGGAGGAATTCCAACATCTAATTCCCAACTTAATTTCCTTACTCTTTATCCTAGAATGATGGATATTGCCCTTAAACGTCTGTACACCCTCCTGAACTCCTGGAAGAGCTTGGAAGATTTTGACCAAATCTTCTGGGGCAGCAAGAGTGCCCTGGCCAGTCAGTAACAGCCCCATAACCTTCCAAACCAGCCCCATTTTCTCCAATGACTCATCCATGACATTGTGTCTCCCCCTCCCCCATATCAATAATACCCAACTTACCTATCACTGCTGTCTTTCCACTGATCATCTTATCCAGAAATGGCCCTAAAGATGACTCACTTTAGGCCCCTTTCCCAAGGGTATCCTGGAAGTGTGAGGGTGGGGGGCTCAATGCTTGGGACCCTGAGGAGAGTCAGAGCACAGAGGCCCTTTGGGGTGCTATGATCTCTGCCCTCTGCTCCCAGAGAGGGTGCACCAGTCCTGGAAGGAGGATGATTTTTTTGGCTACCAGTTCCTCAATGGTGTCAACCCCACACTGCTGAGAAGGTCCACCTCACTCCCCACTCGACTCGTGATCCCCCCAGAATTAGAGGGTCTTCAGGTCCAGCTGGAAAGAAAGCTCCAGGTAACCCTCTCCTCTTTTTCTCCTCTCTTCTCCAATCCTTTCTTCTTCCTGGCCATCTTTCTGACAATATGGAATTAAAAAGGCTCCTAGGGATCAAATTAGGTCAGTTTCTCAATACATACAACATATTGTTCAAGGTTTAGGGAAAGGAATAGGGTAAAATTACATAAGGATAATTTGCTTTTTAAGAATGGAGAAACCGTAATTAAATCCTGGGAAAACAATGATCCATTACAAAAGTACAACTAGAAGAGCCAATGGCAGTAATTCATCCTTCATGCAGAACCTCATTTTGGGTTTCTTTGGATATGTAAAATACAAGAAAGAGGGCCATGAGAGCAAAATGAACTTACTGTTGTTCTGGCAAACGTGGAGTATAATAAGGTAAAAAAGACAGAAAAAGAGGAAATAGATGGAGACAGGAACAGATTAACAAATGAAGACTCTCCATATGGATCTTAGTACACAGAGAGAAGGAGACGGAAGGGAGTCAAGAGAGAAAATGAGAAAATTTCCTGGAGCAGTTGGGAGGGGAAGGCTTGGGAATTTGGAAGGGTTGAGAGGAAGATTGAGAGCAGGGAAAAGAAATTTAGGGGAAGAAGAAAACTAGTTTGGAAGTGGAAAAAGAAGAGGGGAGATGGTAGAAGGCTTGTTTGAGGAGGGACAGGATTGTTCCAGAGAGAGAGAACAAACAGTTTGGGAGTTTAGACTGGGTATGGGAAATTAGAAGAAAGAGGGTCATGACCATCCAAACAAAGAGGCCTTCAATCTGTTTCAATATAATGTAAATGGAAAGGGCTCTGGAGTCTGAAGGCTTGGTTCCTAACCCCTGCTTTGCTTTAGTAGCTGTGTGACCCTGGGCAAGTCATTTTACTTCTCTGGGCCTCAGTTTCCTCCACTGTAAAATGAGGGGGCTGAATTAGATGACCTCCAAGGTGCCTTCCAGGTTTCATATTCTGTGGGTCTAGGTCTAGTTAAGAATCTGGACTTCTCTTTCAGTCCTTTATGCTGATCCTCTGACTGTCCCTGGTATTAAAATTGTTGTTCCACATTAAGCTTTGAACCTTGACCTCAGACTAACATATCCCCCAGGAGGGTTGTCTGTTTGAAGCTGACTTTTCCCTGCTGGCTGGAGTCCAGGCCAATGTGATCCAGGGAGAGAGGCAACATCTGGCTGCCCCCCTGGTCATGTTAAAGATGGAGCCTGATGGGAAGCTGCTGCCCATGGCCATCCAGGTGAGGGAACCCAGGCATCCTTCTACCCAGCTCCCTTATTCATCCTTCCTCCACCCCATTGCCTCCCCACCAACTCATTTCCTGGGACAAAGACCTCCGACTCTCTGCTCTGCCTCACCAGCCCTTCTTCCTTTCAAAGACCCAGGGATCTAATGACCTGCCCATGCAGTTCAGTAAAAAGAGCAGTGACCAGAACAGAGGCCCTGGGTTCACATTTACTGCCTGGCTGATGTTGCTCATGTCATTCAGCCTTCCCTGGGCCTCTGAGGCCCCTTCCAATTCTAGGTCTATGATTGTATTGATCCTTCTGTCCTCCAGCTCCAGCCTCCCTGCTCTGGCTCTCCAGACCCACCACTCTTCCTGCCCTCAGATCCCTCCCTCACTTGGCTCCTGGCCAAGGCCTGGGTCAGAAATTCTGACTTCCAGCTGCATGAGCTGCAAGCACATCTGCTGAAGACCCATTTGGTGGCTGAGGTGTTTGCTGTAGCCACCATGAGGTGCCTCCCAGGGATGCACCCCATCTTCAAGGTACTCACCTTATCTTACAGCTACCCTTCACATCCTACCCCTGTGAACCTAAGGGAAAAGACTGCCAAATCCAATTAGAGGGTAACATTCAGGAACAGTTTCTTTACACCAATTAAGCATTATGTGTTTCATTGACAGCAAAGAATCCTGGGAGGTAGCTTTAGTACAGCTAAAAGAACAAGTCATTTTCCTTCTCTGGGCCTTAACTTCCTCCTCTGTGAAATGAAATGGAACTAATGATGTCTCAAGTTCTTTCTACTTCTTATTTTTTAAGGTTTTAGACTGTAGTAATGCAGATACTCAGTGTGTACTAAGCACTTATTGTGTGCCTGGCATTGATAAAATCTTTGAAGGATTAAGAAAGTATGTGGCCTCTGCCTTCATGAGGAATATAAACCTGTAACACAATGTGTAATGAATTAGGTGCTTGCTCTTTCTTTTTCATTCTTTTGGGTATGTTTTACAGTGTCTTGATTTCTCATAAAGTCACTAGCTTCCAATTGCTCTATTCTAATTTTTAAGGAAGTATTTTCCTCAGTAAGCTTTTGGACTTCCTTTTCCAATTGGCCAATTTTGCTTTTTAGGGCATTCTTCTCCTCATTGGTTTTTTGGACCTCTTTTGCCATTTGGGTTAGGCTATTTTTTAAGGTGTTATTTTCTTCAGTATTTTTTTGGGTCTTTAGCAAGCTGTTGACTTGTTTTTCATGATTTCTTGCATCACTCTCAGTTTTCCCTCTACTTCTCTTACTTCTCAAAATCCCTTTTGAGCTCTTCCAAGGCCTGGGACTGATTAATATTCTTCTTGGAGGCTTTGGATGTAGGAGCTTTGGCTTCATTGTCTTCTTCTGGTTGTATGTTTTGATCTTCTTTGTCACCAAAGTAAGATAATACAGTCTGATTCTTTTTGCACTGCTTACTCATGATCCCGGCCAATTACTTGAGTTTTAAACTCTTTGTTAAGGTAGAAGTCTGCTTCCAATGTGGAGAATGTACTGTCCCAAGCTTGGGGGTTTGTACAGCTGTTTTCAGAGATACTTCTAAGGACCCGAAAATTTTCAGTTCTTCCAAGGTGCTATGATAAGGGGCGCGGTGTTTTCTCTCCACTGCCACAACAAGCTTCACCACACCAGCGTTCCTCCTCGCCCCAGGTCCACCCCTCAGAACTGTGACCCAGATCCAAGCACTGGGAAAGCAAGAGATTCCTGCCTCAGCACTGGCAAAGAGATCCCTGCAATCCGCCTCTGATCAGCCACTCGATTCCCCCTCAGTCGGTGGGCCAGAAGCTCAAGAAATAGCCATGGCCCCAAGCCATGCTTGAGAATTGCGGCTGAGACCTAGCTCCTCGCTCACCTCGGTCACAGACTTTTCCCACTGACCTTCTAAGTTGTCTTTGGCATTCGTGGGTTGACAAGTCTCGATGTGGCCTTCACACCCACATCTCACTGTGCTCCTCTCCCTGCCCAGTGCGATATACCTTTCCGATCAACCATCCAGGCTGTCTTTGGCTGGAAATTTGTTTCACTCTGTCTTTCTGTGGGTTCTGCTGCTTTAGAATTTGTTTAGAGCCATTTTTTATAGGTATTTGGAGGGGGTTGGGGGAGAACTCAAGCAAGTCACTGCTTTCCCTCTGCCATCTTGGCTTCGCCCCTTCTTGCTCTTTCTTTTTAACAGCTTCTGCACACTCTCCCTCTCATTCCCTATCACATTCCTTCTCCTCTGTCCCTTGGCTCCCCACCCCTCCACTTTTTTCTTTTGTCTTCCTCCATCTCTTTCACTTGCTTTTCTTTTCTTTTTTCACTTCTAATAGAGACAGGAACAAACATGGCATAGGTGGGGAAAAATTTGTGGACCAGGCTACCTGAATTGGAGAATTTGTGCAGGGCAGAAGTGAGGGGCTCTTAATGTATTTGGGGACCAGATTTGTGGAGAACTTTGGACTTAATCCTGGATGAAATTAATATTTTAAGAAGATTAATCTGGAGGCAGCTAGGTGGTGCAGTGGATACAGCACTGGCCCTGAAGTTAGGAGGACCTGAGTTCAAATCCGGCCTCAGACCAAACACTTGACACTTACTAGCTGTGTGACCCTGGGCAAGTCACTTAACCCCAACTGCCTTAAAAAAAAAACGAACAAAAAAAGAAGATTAATCTGCATAGTGTGGCGTGGAGAGAGAATGGAGACAATGACCACAATTAGGTGGTCAGGAATAGTACAGGAATCGGGTGACAGTGAAAAGGGAGGAGAGGATTTGGGACATTACAAAGGAAAGTTCAACAGGGCTGGGTGATTACAGATGGAGAACAAGGGAGAGTAAACAGTCAGGGATGACTGAGATTTTGAGCTTGAGTGAATGACAGAAACTGAAGAGTTGGTGTGAACAGAGACAAAATTTGGGGGACATATGATGTTCATGGCTTTAAACAAGTTAACTTGGAACTCACTGTGTGACATTCAAGAATAGAGAGACATTTGGTACCTAGAAATGGTACCAAATAGCAGTGGAGACCCAGTGAAAGGTCCAGGCTGAAAATATAGATTTATGTAACACTTGAGTGATTGACAAAGCCATGAAAATAGGACCTGGAGAGGATGACAGAACCTTAGATTGGGGTAAGGAAAAAGAAGAGCCATTAATGGAAGGTAACAAAGAAAAGGATTATGGATATAGATAGTAAACAATTACTCAAAGACGTAAAAAAAAAAAAAAACTTCCAAGAAGATGTGGAGAAAATGAGATTAAAGACTTTGAGCTGATCAGAAGGGAGTATGCAAATGAACTTGGAATCCTAAATTTCCTCAAAAATACATATCAGGTGACTCTCTTGTTCAAGACACTACAATGAATGACTCCTACTCCCCATCATAGTATCCTATAATTTGGCCCCACATACAAACCCTTTCCTCCAATCACTTTGGTCTTCCCAAAATATGATATGCTCAGTCTCACTTTCATATCTTTACTGATGTTTTTCTTCTTTTGTTCCTATAAAACAACCAACCTCAAATGTCCTACTCTTCCTTCTCATCCAAGTTTCTTGTCCGTGAAAGAATCTCAAGGTCATCATTTTTATCTTTTTGTCCCTGGATCTGATCTCATTCCATACCAACCATGTAATCTGTTCACACACTTTACAATGCTCCTTGATTGCAGCACCATTCTGGCTCAGGGTCTGTTGTCCTGTCGGACAGAAGCTTTCCCCTTTCTTATTTCCACCTGTCCTTTTCCAACAGCTCCTGATACCTCACCTCCGCTACACACTAGAGATTAACACTCGTGCCCGAACCAAGCTCATCTCTGATGGGGGAATTTTTGATCAGGTATGAAGGGGTAGGATTCAGGAGTTAGAAAAATGTGGGGGAGTCAGGGAAGAATATGCTCCCCCCCCCAGGTCCTCTCTTTTTTAATCTTTAGGAACCCATGAAGATTTCCCCCTCCCACAATCTCAAATCAATGACCTGTTTCTATCTTATTTTTAATCCAATTAAACATTTATTAAGCACCTAGTATGCACAAGGCACTATGACTATACAGATAAAACCAGACATAATCTATCCTCCATGAGCTTACAAAATGGTAGAAGAGAAGAAATATACACAAATAATTACAAATTAGAAGATGATTTAAGTACAGACAAAGGGTCAAACAATGTAAGATTCAATGAAGGAGATCATATCCACCTGGGTATGTCAAGGAAGGTAGCACCTGAGCTGGACCTCAAAGGAAAAGAAAGATTTCAATAGTTGGATGTTGGGAGGATTGTATTCCACACATGGGAACACTGTGCCAGTTTAGCTCGAACATACATACAGTGTATGAAGAGAAAGTAATGTGAAATAAAGTGAGAAAGGTAGGATGGAGCCAGATTAGGGAGGGCCTTAAATGCTAGGCTGAAGAATTTGTTATTTTATTCTGCAATCATAGGGAGCCACTTAAGATTGGGGGCAAAGCAATGACAACATTAAATCTGTGTATTATCTCGAGTATTCTGGCAGTACTGGAAGATGACCTAGAAAAGAAGAGTCTGGAGGCCAGGAGAGCTGTTAGAAGGTTATTTCAACAGTGCAGGCCAGAAGTAACAAGGGACATTACTAAAGTGTACCTTAATGGTCTGACAATTGAATGGATATGAGAATGAGGGAAAAGTAAAAAATGACCTGACCTCCTAAATTCCTCCCATCCTCCTTTCTAATTTTTAAATTTGGCTCTCCACTTCCATCCCATCCTAACTTTCCATTCAACCAACACAGGTGGTGAACACTGGTGGAGGAGGTCACCTGGATGTCCTCCGAAGGGCAACAGCTTGTCTGACCTATAGATCCCTCTGCCCTCCTTATGACCTGGCTGACCGAGGGCTTCTGGGGATTCCGTCAGCTCTCTATGCTCATGATGCCCTGCGGCTCTGGGACATTATCTCCCGGTGAGGAGGGATGGATTGTGAAAGGGGAAACACGGTCCAAGGGATTCCAATAGTGAAGGGGCAGGTGAGGACTGGGAATTAAACAATCTAGACTAGCTAAACAAGATGGCCAAGCCTGAAAGGATATATGAAAGAATCATGAGATGGTAGCCAGGACATGAGAAAAAGAAAGTCATTGAAGGGGTTGGAGCTGTTTGCATCATCTCTGATTTTGGAGGAAAAATCATAGTTCACATTTACATGGCATATTATAGTTTCAAATCACTTTCTCCGCAACTACTTGTGAAGTAGGTAGTGCAGGCACTATAATTACAAATGGTGAATGGTATGTACATTTTATTACAGGTGAGGAAATTGAGAAATATTTACTTGTCCTTAATCACACAATGATGAGAAATAGTCAGGGCCTATGGAAAAAAAACTTCAAATTAAAATAAAGTTGTCTAGGTAAACCTTCCATCTAAATTGAAAGAGAAAGACATAGAGAAAGATGGGAGGAGAAGGAGAGAGGGGAGGGAGAGAGAAAGAGGGAGAGAGACAGAGAGAGAAGCAGCTACAACATAGGAGGAAGAATACCAATAGAGATGCACAATAATTCACAGAAGAGAGAATCCTAAAACAACAAACATAAATCCCTCAAACACATGAAACAAATGCACAAAGGTTGAATAATAAGCAAGATGCAAACTGGCACCAATGAGCTTTAGTAAGTATGATTCATGACAAGAACACTGCCATGGAAAGTTATACCTTATTCAAATGGAAAAGGATAACAGGGGGCAAAAAATAAAAAAATGTTATGTGTTAATCTCCAGCTTCAGTTAGGACACTATGGTACTTCAGGTTTGGGGCTTGAGATGAGACACTCATACTCCATTTACCTCTTGACAAAAGGAAGTTCACTCAATTAGAGCACAGATATGATTTGCAAAGCAAACCTAGTTCCAAAGCTCCCCTCACCTCCATATTAGGTACCATGGTGCACATGGTCAGAAGATCTTTCCTCACAGGGCACTCAGAAGTACACCAAACCTAAAGAGGATTGATTAGTCATGGGCTGGACTTTTATATCTTAGGCCACTGGTCTTCCTAATTCTTGTGACCGTGCAACCATTTCAGTAAAAAAAAAAATTTTAGCATGCACCTCCAATAGAGCTATATCTATACTTATTTATGTGTATATTAGTACTGTATGATGCTGTACTAACAAGTATGTAAACTGTAAAAGATACAAAAGTATAAATAAAAAATATGAGATAAAGAAGAAATAATATTTGAATCAAAAAGGAGTGGCTTGAGTTTACTTCGTGAAGCAAGAGAATAGTGTTTAGAGCTGTGTACAGGATGGACTGGAGAGAGGAGACACTTGAGGCAAACAAACCAATTAAGAGGCTGTGGCAATAGTCCTGGCAAGAGGCGATAAAGGCAGATAGAGTGATAAAGAGTGTTGGCTGTGTGAGAAAAAGAATTATGCAAGAGATGTTATGGAAGCAGATATGACAGGATTTGGCAGCTTCCTGGATACATGGGGTTCGGAAGAGAGAGCAGAGTCCAAGGATAGCACCTAGGCTGCAAACCTGGCTGATTGGAAGAGCAAATTTCAAAAGCTTCAGAGAAAGTACAGAATAAGATCCCATGACCTAAAACTCTATAATCAAAGCTAGCCTAGGAAGGAAGGGAAGCTCTCAAAAATGAACATCTGAGGAAGGAAACAGAAACAATGCCAATGAGGAAAAAAGAGAATCATTTAAAGAGACTAACACCTCTTTTGCCAACTTCGCCTTAATTGGAGATGAACACAAAAGTGTAGAACAATCCTATAAAAACAGTGTCAAGAACAGAATGACATGACTCATAATGAATGTTAAGGACAACAAAAGGCTTTCTAAGTTATGTTTGGGCAAAAAAGGAGAGACAGGGCTACTGCTCTGATAGATGGCATGATGATGGAGTGAAAGCAAAAGTACAAAACTGTTTTCCTGGCCAAGAAGAACAATCTTTGGATTGGAAAGAAGAGAAGAAAAATGGTGAAAAAGAAAAAAAACCAACGACAGGTAAAAAGAGAGTAGAAGACCCAACTCCTTTGGAAAAGTTCAAAATAGTCCAAATCAATCTCACTGCTAAACTAATGTTAGTGATGTATGAAAGGTCTGGAGAATGGTCAGGGGAGAGATGCTGCAGGACTGCAGAAAGACAAAAGTCCCAACTGTCCAAAGAGGGAAGAGAAGGAAGAAGACTTGAGGGGAATGGATTAGCTTTCAATCACTTAAAGGACCAGCACGTGAAGAGACACTAGATTTGTTCTGTGCCTCAAGCGGCAGCATTAGGAGCAAATGAGGAAAGTGGTACAGAAGGAAGCCCTACTTTCTTAGGTGTAAAGAGAAGCTACCTAACATACAGAGCTACCTAAAAGGTAATGAGATATCTCAAGAGGCAGCAGATTTTCCCTCATTGGTGATCTTCAAATGAAGGCAGAATCGCAACTTGTTGGTGATGATATGATATAGAAAGAATTTTCCATCCGTTTAGGGTGAAAAAGATGTTGCTTGAATTTCTTTCTAATTCTAATACTAAGATTCTCAGTGAAGCCCCAATGGTTCCCCTTCACTGCTTTTCCCTGACCTCCTTCCTTCTCTCTTGGGGAGCAGATACGTGCAAGGAATAGTCCATCTCTATTATTCGGAAGACAAGGTTGTACAGAGTGACCCTGAGCTACAGGCTTGGTGCCAAGAGATCACTGAGATTGGGCTGTGTGGGGCCCAGGAACGAGGTAAGATTTGACATCTCCCATACCGAAAAATCATCTCTCTTTCTTCTAAACCCTTCCTAGAGACCTTTCTAAAACCCTCTCTGAGCTCCACTACCTTTATGAAACTTTGCAAACCTAGGGACCACTTAAGATGATTTCAGACCCCAGTCCCCTTACATTTCCCTATATCCTGACTCCTTATCACAGGTATTTACAACCAACCCCAGCCCACAAACACAAGGCATCGATAACCACATAAGGCAGATGGCATCACATAGCAGCAAAGTTCTGTTGCCAGTAGATAGATCTTAGGATCTCCATCACCTCTACTCAAGGATTAAATTGACACATTTCTTCCATCAAAGACTAAGTTCCTCCTTCCTTACCTCTAATCCTCTGCATTCTGCAAGATAGTATCTTTTTCTCCTACCCCTATCTGCTGCTAGACTACTACATACGGTCCATGTGCAAATATAAACTTGTATCTAAACTTACAATGTAAGGACATTTTTTGTCAGAACACAAAGACTTGTTAGTGGAGGAAGTGAACTACACCTCTAAATCCCTCTAAAAGTGAAGAGAGAAATAAGACTTTTGATCACACAACTTCTAAGAGCCAAAATTTTCCTAAGTCCACACATCCCAGGACCTTGGCCACCCCATGGGGATACCAGCCCTTATTTCTCCCTGGGTCTTCTGTTTCTTCTACAAACTCTTCTTTTTTCCAGGGTTTCCTGTCTCTTTCCAGTCCCGTGCTGAGCTTTGCCACTTTGTTACCATGTGCATCTTCACATGCACAGCCCAACACTCAGGCATTAATCAAGGACAGGTAAAGTAATTTGCACATCTGAATTCCTGAGTGTGTGTGGGCCAAATACATTTCTTTATCGGGGGAAGGGTTTGGAGGAAGGGAACTGAACTATAGGCTCAGATTCCTCAGTCTCTGAGTGACTTCACACTCTCTCTCAACCACAGCTAGATTGGTATGCCTGGGTCCCTAATGCTCCATGCACTATGAGAAAGCCACCCCCAACCACAAAGGATGTAACATTAGAGATGGTGATGGCCACACTACCCAATGTCCATCAGGCCTGTCTCCAGATGACTATTGCATGGCACCTGGGTCGGTTCCAGCCAGACATGGTAAGAGCCAGGGCCAACAGAGGGAACAGGGCCCAGGGGTAAGGGTACAGAATTGGCAGCGAAGGGTCTACAGACCTGAAGCTTGTGACTGTGAGATGACCTTCTTCTCTGTCTCAGGTACCCCTGGGTCATCACAAGGAGGAATACTTCGCAGGACCTGGGCACAAGGCTGTGCTGAACCGTTTCCAGGAAGATTTAAATACTCTAGAAAGGGAGATTGTGGCTCGTAACAAAGGCCTGGACCTGCCCTATTACTACCTTCAGCCAAGCAGGATAGAGAACAGTATTACCATCTAAGCCCAACATCTGGCTGACCACCACTCTGATTGGGTTGGAAAAGCCCCCCTTTTACAAAAATAAGGTACAAAAGTCACAAACTTGAGGCTCTATCCCCACATCTGACCTACCTCACTTTCTCAACCCCTTACTGAGGAGGGGTCTTTCTTCTTCTGGTATAAAGCATGCTTAATATCACACTCCAAGGGTCATGGGTCATTAGTTCACATTCAGCTCCTTGGCAACACTCCTCTCCCACTTTCCACACATGCTTCTCATTCTTTGTTATGGGTGTTCCTGGAAAGAAACGATCTTCCCGGGGCAGCTAGGTGGTGCAGTAAATAGAGCACCAGCCCTGGAGTCAGGAGGACCTAAATTCAAATCTGGCCTCAGACACATGATACTCGCTAGCTGTGTGACTCTGGGCAAGTCACTTAACCCCGATTGCCTCTGGGGGATGGGGGGTGGAAGAAATGATCTTCCCTTTGACTCTCCTCCTGGGGCAGGCAGCCCTCCCATATCATTCTGCCCAAGAGATTTTCCCAAGAATGGGAAAGCTCCCAGTGTAACCACATACGAAGTTTCCAGTCCCCTTTTCCCAGCACTGAGAATCCCCCCAGCTATACCACCTCACTGCTTCTGTGTCCTTACACATCTCTCATCCTTTGCCACAATCTGCAATGAATAAAGAGACACATCTAAATACTATGTCTTCTCAACCTATGTTGCTTAGGGAACAAAATAATTGCAATGCTGGCATAAGGCCACAAACTAGTACTAACTTTCACTGTATCATCCAGTTGATATTCTAGGACATAGTCATCTTCCCTGGTTCAAAATATTAGAGTAGTTCTCTAAACAGCCTTTAAAGTCTGCCATCCATGAATATAACTAAACCTCTTTTGAAGCTGTTTCCATTATCCTTCTGTACCACCACTAAGGATAATTGATTTTATGCCCTTCTTTTTGTTATAAATTTGTCTCTTTCAAGCTTTAGGGGGAAACCTTGTAGTTCTAGTATACCATAATTCACAGACTTCAGTCAGATCCTGTCTTCTTTCCAGAATGAGTAACAGCTTACTTCTAAAACATTTTAAAATCATTCATAACATCCTATGTGCATTATCTTGTGATCTTCAAAAGCCTGAGGCAAACAAAACAGATATTATTATCCCTATTTTACACATGGGTACACAGACTCAGAGGCTAAATAACTTACCCTGTCCTACATCACCCAGTTAGTATCAGAGGTGACTTGAACCCAAGACCTGGGTTCCAAATCAACCTTGCTTTTTCCACTGCCCCATGCTGACTCTCCAATGACAACCACTAAACTTTTTAGTTTGCTCACACAGAAGCTCTTCCAACCTAATCCTTTAATAACTTATAATGCTTCAAGGCTTATAAGGTGTTTTCTTCGTAACTACCCTGTATGATAGGAAGTATAAATAGTATTATCATCATTGACAGATGAGAAAACTGAGACTCATAAAGGTGGATCAAATTATCCAAAATCACACAGTAAAGGATCAACAGAACCTGGTCTACTGATTACCTGTCCAGCCCTCTTTCCACTACAACTACATTTGTCTTTCTCTGTACCAGTTTCAAGTCTGTTCTACTTTTCTGTAAGTTTATGAGCCAGAATTGAATATAGTATTCCAGGTATGAGTACATGATGGTTTTGTACGAAGGAAAGTGTAGGGTAGAGGAAAGAATATTCAATTTAGAGACCTGGATTCAAATTCTGAACCTGACATTAAATTACATTACGAATCTGACATCTGTTACAATGGACAAAACACAACCTCCCTGGGCCTAAATTTCCTTTCCCGCAAAAAAGGGGGTTGGATTATATGGCTCTCATAGCTTTAAAGCACAGAGTGTATGGCTTTCTCTCTTTGACTTCAATTGCTTTTCTTATAGCTCCTAGCTTCTTGTTTGGATCTCAGAAGTACAATGACTCTAGGGGCTTGGGGCTTAATTTTGAGAAATGGTGTGAAGATGCTCTTCCTAGTCGCAGTTAACGAAAAAGAAGGAACAAAGGATCTTTCCCTCTGGATATCTCAATCCCTGGTTCTTCCTATACCACCACCACTCCCCCCCACCCCCCACCCCCCGCCCTCGCACTGAAATTTCAGAAGGCCTACTTGGCATACCTGAAAACATATATGTTATCATCCCCATAGGACAACCAGGCCTTATGCTACATCACTTCCAAAGCCAAAGGTGGAAATGGGTCTCATTCCGCTCCCCTCATAAGATGCACCGCCAGACTACATCCCCCTCCACGACACTTGGGCAAGGCCTTCCCCTGCATTTTCTCATTAAGTGATAAAACGAAATTAGGCCAATATCCAAAAAAGGCGCCTCGAATCCACGGAAGCACTCACTGTTCGCTAGACTGGAGAGGTCGGCAGGCGCACCTTCGGAATCACGTGACTTTGAAGTTGTTCAATCACGTGAGGAGCCCCACTTCTTGTTTCGTCCTCCCTCGGACCGTACCATATTCATGGGGGGGAGAGAGGAGGGACAGATTCGTATTTTCCCCCGGACCCAGTAAATTAGGACTTTGTAGGAGCTGAAGTGCTGCAGATCTCATCCTCAGCATTCTTACTTTACGATGTTTCTCCCTGCCCTCCCAATCTCTAGGAATAGCCGGTCTCCGGCGCTCTAAGTCTGCTTACTACCCCCCTCTCCGCCCTCTGGTCCCGCCCCTTGCCCCTGCTCCGGTCCCTCCCGGCTCGCGCTCCGCCCTCTCCCCTGGGGAGCTCCCACCTCCATTCCGGCTTCGCTTAGGTACCTCGGTCCAGGATTCGGTTTCCTGGGACCTGCGCTACGCTCCAGCTCCTGCACTGTCCGTCCCGGCCTGGGATCGCCATGGCTTCCCTCTTGTGTTGTGGGCCCAAGCTGGCCGCCTGCGGCATCGTCCTTAGCGCCTGGGGGGGTGATCATGTTGGTGAGGAGGCGGAGGGAGGGCGCGACGGAATTGGGAGAATCTCTAGGACCGGGCGCGCGGAATTCTGTGGCATCGAGGCAGTGAATGATTGAAACCCTTTTGGGGTGGGACCTGAGAGCGTTTTCGAGGAATCGGGGGAGCTGACTCGGGGGAGAAGGAAGGGGGAGGGGGATGAGAATTTGGGGAACTAGAGGAGGAAGGGGTGAAGTCAGACAACAGTATTAAGCATCTACATGCCTGCCAACTGCTAAGCGCTGGGGATATCAAGAACAGCAAACCACAGACTCTGCTCTCAAGGAGCTCAGTCTAACGAGATGAAGTCGAGGTTAGGAAGAGTGAAAGGGCTGGGGAGCTTGAGGAACAAGAGCTGATTAAGGAAAGGGAGATTCTGAATCTGATGAAGGAGAAATCTGGGGTACGGTTTCCCCCAATTCGTCCCTGGCCTCCGGAATGGGGTAGAAAGGCAAAGGAGGAAGTCTATCCCGTGACAGTGACGCCCCCTTGGAGAGAGAGAAGGGCGACGTGGGTGGCATCTGTTGCTGGAACTCTAGATGGGGCCTGTCCTTTTTGAGTTGGGGTGGGGGTGGGTGGAGGGAAGGTGGTCTCAGTTTCACTCGAATGACATCCCCAATTAGGCGGCTGATTCTGGTTTAATCTGAACACATCCCTAGGTACAGCCAGATCTGAGAGCTTGGTGTTATTATGGCAACGAGAGGGTGGAAGGGCAGGTCAAGGTTGATTCGAGTGGAGTGACCGGGGAACCTAGATTTCTGGTTTCACCCACACCGTATCCACATATTCTTTCCCCAGGTCCTTCTTGGAATTTTCTTCAATGTCCATTCTGCTGTGCTAATTGAGGATGTACCTTTAACTGAGAGTGATTTTACTGAGTGAGTTGTAGGGAATGGGAGGGATTTCCCAGGGCCGGAGGCTGGAGACTTAGGCCCCCCCAGAGCTTGGAGAGTTGGCAGAGAACAGAGAGGGCTGGACTTCAAGTACTCTGGGGACAGTGAGGACTTGGGAGGCCAAGCAGCTGTCTTCACCCTTACTTTCATCTTTCAGGAGTGGTCCTCAGAAAATCTATGAACTTTATGAACAAGTGAGCTACAACTGCTTCATTGCTGCTGGTCTTTATCTCCTCCTTGGAGGCTTCTCATTCTGCCAAGTCCGGCTCAACAAGCGCAAGGAATACATGGTCCGTTAGGACACTCCATTCCACTCCCAAGGATCTGGGGGTCCCCCTAACCCACCCCATGCCTCTTATTTAAATTCCCTTCTCTCAACCTTCCCCTTCCTTCTTGGGGTCCCTCCATTTCTTTCACCGTAGGCGCTGAGGGTGTTGCTGGCTGCTCTCTGGAGAATGGGTCGGGAAGTGGGGAAGAGAAAAGCTTCAGTTACCCATTTTGCTCGGTTGTTTTACCCCTGTTTTGTGGGGGTGGCTCTGCCTTCTCCTTTCTAGCCCCTGGGCTGTCTCTGCTAGTAACAATAAAGCGAAGGTGTTCTCTGCGGCCTCGGTGTGAGTTTGTGCTTGTAGCCCCTTCCTTCTCTAACGCCGGGGGCGCCTGTAGAGTGGGAGGGAGGGCAGGAAACCCCCGGCGCTTGGGGGGGGGGGTGTCTAGGAAGGTGGGGCGTGGAAAGAAAGCAAACCCGGAGGGTCACTAGCCAGAAGCGGAAGTGTCCCGGCGCCTCGCCGGAAGCTGAGTGAGCTCCGCCTACCAACCCCGGTAGTAGGGACGAACTCCTGTGCCCGCCGCCTTCCCTTCGTGCCCCGTGGACTGAGCGTTCCCTCCGACTGATGGTGCGGGGGCGGAGCGCGAGCGCGGCGGACTCCAGGGGCCGGTGAGAAGCAGCTCGCTGAACAGAGGGGCGGGACTTGCGCGGCCGTTCGTTGGCTGGGCTGCGCCCGTTCTTTGCTCGCGCGGCAGCTGCTGCAGCTGCGTCCCCGGGAGCTGGCGTCCAGGGCCATGACGTCAGCTTCCACCAAGGTGCGCGCTCCTCCCCCATCCCGAGACCCAGAGAGCCAGGGTAGCCCGGGAGAGGGAGGCCAGGAGGACCCCCGCCCCCCGCCCCGAGGATAACGCCTCTCACCGGACTTGGAGAAAGGAATCTCGGGTGTAGCTTCTTCCCAAGAGAAGGGCTCCTTTCCTACCCACCCCCCAGCCTAGCTCTCTCCCACCTATTCCAAGGAAAGGATAGACCCCGGATTCTCCCCCCATCCCAGGGGAAGGGAGAATTGGGGACCCTCTGGATAGTGCTTTCTCTGGAATGGAAAGGGAGGTTGCGCGTCCCTGGTTATTTCACTTTTCAAGCAGGGGGGAGAATGGAGAACTCCAGGTTCATCTCTCACCTGGTGGGGAGAATGGACACCCTTATTTAATGCTTCCCCTAGAGTGGGAGTGAATTTTCTAGTATTACACTCCTCCCAAGGTAGAACCATGCCCCAGTAAAGTGCCCCTTACGGGGTGAGCCTGTGTCCTGGGCATTGTACCCCATAGTCCTCTAGTGGTTGGATCCATCACCTGCCATCCTCCAGGTTGGGGAGATCTTCTCCGCTGCTGGTGCTGCCTTCACAAAGCTTGGTGAACTGACTATGCAGCTGCATCCAGTATCGGACTCCTCCCCTGCCGGGTAGGTTTGAACTGGGAGGAGAAGAGCGGAGCTGGATCCCACTGCCCCCAGCCCGGGGAGGAGGGAGGATCAGGCACACGTTGCCCTAGGCGAGGGAAGGGACAGACGCTCTCCACCGCCACAATTCACTGACCCCTGGTTCTCAAATTAGTGCCCTTGTCCTTCACTATGGGGTTAGCTCTTGGCTTACAAAGTGTATGGTCTCTGTAGACCACCGCCTATGTGACCTTGAGCATGTTGTTTAAAGTTTCTGTGCCTGTTCCTTCATTGGTAAAGGCACAAGTCTGTGGGCTGTTAGAAGAGTCAAGTGAAATTTGTATAACTGCTTTGTAAGCTTTACCATCCTGTACAATATCAAAGTATTACTTAAGTATTCCAGGCAGGCTCTTTGTATGTTAGGGGCCAGATCATATTTAAGTAGTTTTTTCATACCTAGGGTTAAGGGGGGTAGATCAGGGGGTTTATTCAGGGTAGTTAAAATTGTTTCTGTGAGATGCCCAGAGACACTAAGGGTTTGTGAAAGGAGGAAAGGGGCTCAGTGGTTTTGGAACTAAGAATCCAGAGCATGTGGTGTGTAAGGTGACTTCACCCCTCCTTCCCCTACTCCACTTCCCCATCCCCCTCTCCCCTCCTGACAGTGCCAAGTGGACAGACACCGAGATAGAGATGCTGAGGGCTGCGGTGAAACGATTTGGGGACGATCTTAATCGCATCAGCTGTGTCATCAAGGACCGGACTGTGTGAGGGAGGGTGGTTAGACAGGGAATGGGGGGGTGGGGGGGGTGGACAGCTTATCCTCCCACCCTTTCTTTCTCCCCTTGTACTACCTTTCCTGCTGTCTCTGGTCATTTTGGTAGGATGCCCCTGGGAACTGGATATAAACAATATGAGGATTACTACAGTTGAAGTAGGGATTGTTAAAATATTTTGGTAGGGTCTCCTAGGTTACTTCTGAAAGTAGTTTGCTTAGGATCTCCTAGGGTGCTTACAAAAAGTGTGCTTATTATAGGAACCCTCCTAGCCAGTTGCTTATAGGAACACTTAGGGGATTCTTTGTGTTGGGTATTTGGGCTTATTTCCCACCTAGGGTCGGATTCCCACTTAGCAGATGGGTATTTATGGTGGATCTTTATAAGCCAGTGTCCATACCCTCCTGCCTGCCCTCCCCTCCCTCCTCCCAATCCACTCCAGTCAAATGATTCCCACTCTGGAGTTTCCTGGCATCCCAAACAGAGAAGCATGAAACCCCCTCCCTTACTTTGTTCAGACATTTTACTTCTAAATTTCCTAACCCTTTCCCCCTAAGCAGTCCAAACACTTGGAAAAGTCAAAAGTAATCCCTTCTTATTAGAAGATTAGGAATTTCTGAGCTAGAGTTTCCTAGACCACAGATTAGATTCCCCTGAGTTTCCTAATATCTCATTCCCCATGTACCCTCTTTTTCATGATATCCCTTTGACACCCTTCCCCCTTTTCCCTTATCCTCTGTGTCTCCTCCTTAGTGCTCAAATAAAGTCTACAGTGAAACGAAAGGTATATGAAGACTCTGGTCTCCCTCTTCCAACTGAATCACCCAAGAAGGGGCCCAAGAAGGGAGCATCTAGTGTCCTGGTTCCTGCCCTACCTGTACCCCCGCCCACTGGGTCTAGTGTTCCTGAAACTGGGGGTCCTCCCCCGAAGAAGCAGAAGGCTGGTGAGGGCCATGGAGTGGTTTTTGTAGGGGAGTGCTAAGGAAAAAGCTAAGCTCAGAGGCCAAACAAGTAAACTTGGAAATGAGACCAAAAGGGAGCAGTCTCCTCCCTCAGCCTGTGGGGGAAGAGTGAGAGGAGGAGCTGGGAGGAGGGGGAGCTGGGGTCGGGAAGGTCTGGGGAAATTGCGGGGGGGACCGAGTTGATGCCTCCCTCTCAGATGTGACGCTGAGCGCCCTGAATGACTCAGATGCCAACAGTGACGTAGTGGACATTGAGGGGTTAGGGGAGGCACCCCCAGCCAAGAAACTCAACTTCGACCAGGGTAGGAGTCCTTCCCCTTCCCACACTAGTGTAGGGTTGGGATTTGGGGGAGAAGGTTCTTATACCCTGGGGAGAGGGAACTTTGTGGGGGTGGGGAAATATGGTATAATAAAAAAGGAGTGGATTGGAGTCACTTGACTGCTTGAGTAGGGGCTTTGTGGTCAAGTCACTTCCTTTCTCTTCTCTAAAATGAAGGGGTTGCATCAGATGTTCTGTACATTTTGTGACAGGTAGGCATTTCCTTGGAGGGTGGGTTTAGGGCTCTCTCTTTCTCTCTCTCCTCATTTCATTTCTTGTTCCAGACAGCCTGAAACTAGACTCTGGACTTCTCATGACCTCTGCTGATCCTCCTTTGCTCTCCCGATGACCTTCCCTTTTCTGACCCATGACCCTTTTTTTGTGGACCTGAGTGGAAATCTGGAAAAAGGAAAGCTGGAGGAAAATAAATATCTGCCCTGTAGACTGTGTGTGAACTCATGCCCTCTGCCCACAATGGACATTTTTTTACAAAATCAAATAAAAACTTCACGCTTAATTTGGTGGCTTTGTCTCTATTTCATCAGAGAACAAAGGGTATTCCTTCAGCATTCAGAGAGGAAAGGGTCTTCTCCCCACAGCTGCTCTAGCCACCCTGTCTGGAGCAGCACTCTCAATACTGGCATGGCTTTCCCTCAGGTGCCAATATTTCTGTGCTGCTAAAGCCAGAGGGGCCCAAGGTGGTGGTAGGAGTAGGAGTGGAGAACAGAGTTGCGGACAGAAGACTTCATTAGTTGGAGTAGGACTTTTCCCTGAATGCTTAGGATTTGTCCCATAATTCGTGTCGGGGTACTCTGTGTGTTCAAAGTCTCCCTAAAAGTGACCCCTAGGATTTTCCCTGGTAAAGAACCCCTATGTTTTTATGGGGTCTCTCCATTCTGTTTGTCATACATCCCCTAGGGTCTCCAGCGTGTCCAAGGTATCCTGCTCCAGGGTCCAGGCTGTGGTGATTTCGATGCCTTCCCTACCCTCGCTCTAACACCACAGTGTGGTTTGGACTTGACCACAACACTGAACAAACCACAGTGTGCTGCTGGGGCGGAGGCAGGACGGGATTTGGGGTAGGGCGCTGTGGAGAAACAAAAGGGTAGTAGACAAGTCGATGCAGGGAAAAACTAAAAACATAAGGCTGGTCAGTGGAAAAACGGGAACCGGGCTTGTTGAAAAGAGTTTAGGAGATGCAGTGGCAGTGGGAGGGAGGGAGGTATACAGATAGGTGGACGAGATTCTCAGAGAGAATCTGACAAAGAATAGATGGGACCATCTTCCCTTCCTAGAGAAGCCAGCCCAAGACTTGGTTAGGTAGAATCAGGTGGTATATATGAGGCAGTGGCCAATTGGAATGGGGGCTGGGGAACGGACAACCCCACCTTACTCAGCCCCTACACACACACAAAGATATCTACACGCAGTCCTCCAAAGGTAGAAAAATAAATACAAAGACAGCCAAAGACAGCCAGAGAAAGGCTGACAGGTAGTGAAAGCCAGTTCTAGATATGGATGGGGCTGGGCCTCAGTTGGGGATTTGAGGTCAGAAAACTACTTGGGACCCTGGCTTGGCACAAAATGTTGAGGGAGCGGAGGGAAGGGCAGGAGTTTGGAGGGGTGGGGGTCCAAGTAGGCAAAGGCCTAGAGAGAAGCTACTTTTGGCATTCCCACCTACCTCTATCCCTGCTCCTCAGCTCCATTATGGGTCTTGTTAGGGACCCATATGTCCTTTTCTACATACTCACCCTCATATTGGTCCCATCAACCACACTTAAATCCCCAAGGGGAAGCCACGTTGAACATACAAACATTCCCCCTTTTCCTCACCCATGCTCCTCCCCAGCC